ATCCCCAGTCGAACGGCAAAGCAGAAAATTCTGTTAAAACCGTGAAAAACCTTATGCGCAAGGCTATGGAAGATGGCAAAAATCCACTTTGGGCGCTACTCATGTGGCGCAACACCCCCAGTGAGGGGATGTCTGTCTCACCGGCACAAAAACTGTTCGGTCGCGCCTGTCGCACGTTCCTACCGGCCCTCCGGTCCACCCTCCTCCCGTGCCACCCCTCCGACGTGCCGGAGGCCCTCGCGCGTCAGAAGGCCCGTCAGGCTTCGTACTACGACAGAAAGGCTCGACCTCTGCCTCCCCTGATTCCCGGCCAGTCGATTCGGATGCGTCTTCCCGGTCAGATTACGTGGTCCCCTGGCATATGCCTTCGCGACGCAGGCCCCCGCTCCTACTGGGTCCGGGTCGACGGCGTTACGTATCGCCGCAACCGCCGTCAGCTACTGAGCACCAGTGACCCGCCTCCGCCGCCCCCGCTGGTGGTTGAGGAGCCGCCCGTTTCTCCGCCGGACCGGCCCGTCTCTGAGCCGCCTTCGTATATGCCCCGTGGGACCGATTCGCCGATGTCCTCACCGCCCTCTGCGCGGCGCAGCTCTCTGGGCTCCGACTCCCCGGCCCCGGCACTGGACCCCGGTGACTATCGCAGTTCCCTCCGCCGATCGGGGCGCGTCTCCCGGCCCCCGGCCTACTTGGCCGATTATGTGCCGCGATAGCCTCTGTCCGGTGAGATCGTGACTCGGCGCCCCTACATCTGACTTGTAGTATATGCGTGTGGTAACTTGTGTCCCCGTTTTGTCTAATACACCAGGTATTGGTGTTATTGGGCTCAATCGGTGTTATTGGTGTTATTGGATTGTTCTGATGAGAAGAGGAGATGCGTCGTGCGTATCTTAAATGCACCGTACATTGCGCGTGCCTCCGCTGAGTGCATCGTATGTTGCGCGCGTGCCGCGATATGGTGCAGTGTGATGTTGCTTCGAGTGTTGCCGCGATTGATTGTTCTGATGAGAAGAGGAGATGTGTCGTGCGTATCTTAAATGCACCGTACATGTGTTTGATGCTGCCCCTAGATGGCAGCACAAGGGAGCTAGCTGTTGTTGGCAGGAGAGCGCCATGTTGTTGTTATTGTTTTGTTGTGTACTGAGCTGGTCGGAGTGACCGCTCCGTGTTTAGGAGATGAGCCTTGCCCTTATTCGTTCAACTTGAGTGCTCTGCTGGAACTCAATACAGATACTCAATACCATTACGTTACCTTACGTTACACGACCGTCGACGGAACGATCACATTTCACTGTTTACAATAATACAGCTACAATTCCCAACTATTGGTTATTGGCATCTCAGCTTACGAGCCAGCACAAATCGTTGCATTTGGGCCCAGTGAATTCCCAACTCACGACACAACCTCTTATATTGCCTTGGACACTGCCTCAGCCTGCAGCCGGCGGACCGTCCTTGGCAGCCGGCGTGGCGTGCGAATTTTCCACTTGTTAACTTCTACTTGCACACAACAGTATCACTAATTCCGAATCAGAATCCGATGCATGACACATTATGATGAGAAAGTTAGAAACACCATCCCTCCCACACACATATGGGTTTATATAGCCTTGATCCCTCCTGACTAAAATAATTGTGTTTTCTTTTTCTTTTTACTTTTAATAAATATTAAAATGCCAAAAAATGCATTTCGGCGAAAAAGTACCAGATTTCGTTCAGGCGTACCTCCGTACCAGAAAGGTCGAAAAAGTACCAGATCTGGTACTATCCCAGCCAGCAATTCGTCCGGGATGCGGTTGGGGACGGTCGGGATAGGCTCCGGATGTCCCGACTTGTCCCTACCGGGTTGGGTAGGCTTGGGTTGTCCCAATCGATACCGGACCTCGATGGCCGGCGGTAGGGGCGACTCGGGATTTCCGGACCGCATGCTTAATCGGTTGGGACGCGGTACGGATAGCCCAATCGAATCCCATGTTTAGACAGGCTTGTGATTTACGTTGTTATCCCAACCGATCTGAGAAGGCGCTTCGGGCACCATATCCGGTGGCCCAGAAAGCCTGGAAAAGCAATCAGATGGGCCGCGTGCAGGCAGACGCGTCCTCTGAGCGCAGCGGCCAGTCTAGCTGCCGCGTTGGTCAAGTGTCGATCCCTCCTTTGAGCTGCTGCCTCAGGATATTGCTTTTGAACTGGCTCTAGCAAGCGGTCGGTTCAACTGTTGTCGTTGCAGGGAAATCAGTCCGTCTTTGAGAACAGGGTGAGTATAGTGCACACTTCATCCGTGATGTAGGGAGCGGGAAAGCTATAGGTAATAGAAATTGTTATGTTCGTTGTGGTTGTACGGCATGTGAATTACACTCGTGCTGTCGCATGTTTGATCAGTTATCATGGACAGAAGATGTTTGGTCTCATTGTCAAGTGTCGTTAATGGTTGCATTGTAGGTTTGAAACCTGAATTACCAGGCATACCATGTGAAATGTCAGATGTGGGTTATTTCTTAGTGATTTTTAGTGTGTCCCAGACTTTGATTAATAACCTCTTGGTCATTTTCAGATGCTCTCTTCGCACAGTGGTGAACCGCCCGACCAGATGCCAGCCGTCTAGTTTCGCGGTGGCTCTCTGAAGCTCGTGACGGCAGACGGACACACTGTCCGCAGAGGAGCCGACACGAACAAGGCGCAGGCCTGCTATAATGACTGTGAACACCGGAAGTGAGTCCGCTGTGCCAGCGCCTTGCAGCGGCGCTAAGATGATGGCCGACGCCACGAATGTGCTGGCCAGGCTGTGAATTTGTGAAAATTTTACCTGTGTGCAACCAGTAAATTTATGAATATATTTCAGTGTCCAATGTAATTCATTTTGTCGTGCAGGCATTATAAAGGTTGAGTTGGAGAATAATGAAGAGGCGAGGGGGTTGCGGTGGCGCAAGCAAAGTGGTCGCATCTGCATAACAGCAATCTGCGGTTATAAGACTGCGGTTAATATGTCAGATGCCTGCGGTATTCCCAAACCGGTCGTGCGGGCCGAGTTGGGACATCCCGATCGGGATCGGAGTTCATCGCTTGTTAAAATGCCATAAGGCGGTCCGGATGCGTGCGGGATTTCCGAACCGGTTGTACGGGGAGATTTGGGGAATCCCGATCGGGATCGGAGTTCAGCGCTTGTTAAAACGTCATAAGGCGGTCCGGATACGTGCGGGATCTCCCAACCGGCCGTGCGGGGTAGGTTGGGATATCCGGACCGTTCCAGCCCGTACAAAGTGTCTCATTTCCCAATCCCGTCCCATTCCGGTCCCGATCGGGGTGGTGCGGGCTGAGTCCGAAAATCCCGATCGGGAACGGAGTGGGATTGCTGGCTGGGATAGTACCAGGGCGGCAGCACTGAATGCTATGCAAACGCGACTATGATGTAAGTTGTGTAACTTGTAACACAAAGCAAAGAAGCAAAGCTGTTCAAGGTTACGCTTAGACTATTTGCCAAAGGCAGCGCTATTCGGCTGCCACCATTAAAGTTAGGGGAGAGCGGGGCCAGTTGAAACACGGGGTCAGATGAAACATGGCTTTATTTTCAACAGTATGCAACATATGGCGTTGCCGACACCACTGCGCATCCGCGCTCGACCACTTCCTTTGTAAACGGCGTTTGGGCGGCAAACGGACGGTAATTTTGGTTTGACACTTGTTTTTGTGTTTTTTAGGGGCGTTTGGGAGAAATCGTTTTTATGAATATTTTGTGATATCTCATATACCTTTGTTTGCTGAAAGAAGAACTCCTGGCTCCGGAATAACACCTTATTTGGCCCTTCATTCAGCATGATGCCGTCCCTCCAGCTCGTTTGACATGTGCTTTACGGCGCGTGCGAGATGGCGGGAGCGGATGGGGTCAATTGAAACGCTTCTCTGAGGGTCAGTTGAAACAGGGCCACAGGCCGTTTCAATGGACCCCGTTGACCTTTGCAATGGTTATTGTTCAGGGTCTGTAAACATTCAAGGAAATAGTCCACCTTTGAAATGAGCTTTTAAACTGAAATAGTAGTTTAATAGAGCTCAATTTTTGACCCCTTTTTCTCCAGCCTTTTGCTTGAAAGCACACTATAGCCTGAGATATTTCTCATTTTCCTCATCCGCCCATTTTACCATAGTCTATGTACTTTATGTCACCTATTATGAGGAACTTTGCACTTTTAGCTTTCCAACGACCTATTGAATGTAGCATTTGGAAAAGTAAACCGGACAAAATATCTCCTTAAGAAAGTGGCCTTAAAGAGGAAAACATCCCATTGTTAAGGATAGGTGCAATTGACCCCATGGGCTGGTTCAATTGACCCTCGCATCGGGGTCATTTGAAACGGGCGTAGAGCTGTTTTATAAGCATGCGTTTGGCAGCAAAATATGTTTGAAACATAATTTTACATATCTTAAAATAAAGCCAAAAGAGCATATTTTTTTCATGGTCTTGTGCATTTTTCGATATGACAACTAGATCTCGCTGTGCATCTCAATATATAAAAAGTGGTTCAACTGGCCCCGCTCTCCCCTACTCTTTAAATCAGTAACTACTTTGCCGATCGAAATATCATACCACCTATCGCAGTTACAATTTGCAATTGTGCCGGTTTTTTTAAGTTTGGTGACCTTAGGTGACTTTGGTGACCCTGAGAGGTCACATGAGCATTTTTGCCTAGTGCAGTCATCCTGTAACAGCGGCGTATTTAGAAAATCGCGAAGGGGGGGGCCAAGGGTTTGGAGGGCGCCACCTCACCCAAGGAGGGCGCCATACGGTCGCGAGATAAAAAATCGCTCAGTGGGGGTTGGGGGGTTGGGAGGCGTTTTTTACCATGCCACCAGTTTTTTTTTTGCGTAACCTCGTATAGGTCGTTGTAGTGTATTGCACTCACACATTCATCACTCGCACTCAAGACTGAACAGTGTACATTCAACTCGACTAATGTGCCCCGCGCCCTTGCCGACGGCTCGCCGGCGGGCACCCGACTCCGTCTCCCGGCCGGCCCGGGCGCGGCGCCGCGGTGCGGCCGTCCCGGTTACCTGACCCGGCCGGCTAAAGGTCGGACTGGCTCCGGCCGCCGCTGCCAGCCGGCGGGGGGCCCGGGGAGGGGTACTACACTACATTCCCTTCCCCCCGAAGCGCTCATCTCCACCAGCGCCTCGTTGCCCGTCCCGCTCGCGTGCGGTACGGGCCCTCCATGTTTCCGGCGTCCTCGACGTCGACGTTAGAGGCATTTCCGGCAGAGTCGTTCCAGACGTCTCCACCTACGTCGACTTCGGCCGCTCCGCCGTCGCCTGTCTCCACTGCGACGGTCCCAGCGCCGCCTCCGGCGCCGTCAGGAAGCTGGTCAGGCCCGACAGCCTCTCTTCTCTCGGCTGTCTCCACGCCGACAGTCTCGGCGCCGCCGCCGGCGTCGTCAGGAAGCAGATCAGGCTCGTCAGCCTGTTCTCGCCCGCCTCCTCCGGGAACGTCAGGCCGGCGGACAGATGTATGACACGGGGAGAGTCGCTCGGCATGGACTCTGATGCCACCCTCCAGCTCGAACGACACGGGACCACGCTGTGCGGTGACGACACATGGCTTGGAAAACCGAGGTTTTCCCTTGCGCGGCCTTGGCATCAGGCGATAGCGAACGAGATCGCCTACCTTTATGTCGGGCTTCCTTGCCGTTCGGTCATGATACCGCTTCATCTTTCGCTGCTTCTTCCGGACGTGCTGTTGGATGGCGCCGTCACCTCTGCAGTCACTGCTCTGCACCACGGCGTTCTCCAGTGACGTCCGCAGCTGGCGTCCGTGCAGCAGCTCTGACGGGCTGCGCCCCGTCGTGGCGTGCGGCGTCGCCCGGTACACCATCAGGAACTGCTGAACGTGCCGCCGCCTGTCTGCCTTCTGCTGCTCACCTATCTGGATGGCAGACTTCAGACTGCGGTTGAAGCGTTCCACAGCTCCGGAACCTGCTGGATGATACGGGGACACCTTGATGTGTTTGATCCCGTTAGCCTGCAAGAACGATGCAAACCGTGCTGACGTGAAATGGGTTCCATTATCACTCACCAGCTCTTTCGGCCAGCCTTCTCTGGTCGCCACTGACGTCAGGAAGTCAATCACGGCGTCTGTACTTGGCTCTGATACAAACGCCACCTCCGGCCACTTGGAGTAGTAGTCTGTGAGCACTATGCCGTACCTCTGATTTGCCGGACCCTGCATCGGACCAATGAAGTCCACTCCCACCTTGTCCCACGGCGCAGTAGGCAGCGAGACCGGGATGAGAGGCGTCCTGGACGTCTTGGTCGACTTGTCCGCAACAGAGCAGGTGGGACAGTTCTTGACGGCTGTCTCCACCTCGCCGTCCATCCCTGGCCACCAGAAGACTGCGCGCAGACGCTGTTTCGTGCGCACTATCCCGGGATGGCTTTCGTGGGCAACTGTCACCACGCGGGTTCTGAGGGCAGAAGGAACAAGTATCCTCTCACCTCTGAACACCACACCCTTCTCGATGCTCAGCTCGTTCCTGTACCTGAAGTAGGGCTTCAGCATAGGCGGCACCTCCCTCAGTTTCGACGGCCAGTGCTGTGGGATCTGCGATATCAGCGCCTTGACCTCGTCATCTTCAAGGCCTGCTGCGGCGATATCAGCGCTGCTCACCGCCGGCATCATCTCCTCCAGGGCTGCGACCAGCTGGTCCTCGTCTTCTGCAACCCCATGACTGCCGGGAAGGCGTGAGATGCCATCAGCCTGGTTCAACTTCCCCTCGATGTGCTGAACCTGAAACGCATAGTTCATCAGCTTGACGGCCCAGCGAGACATTCGCATACTGGCCCGACCGATGCCCTTAGCAGACAGCAGAGAGCGAAGGGCAGCGTGGTCCGTCCGCAAAACGAACTCCTTGCCCCACAGGTACTTGTGCCACTTCTGACACGCCCAGACGCATGCCAGGCCCTCTCTGTCAGTTACGCTGTACTTGCGCTGTGCTGCGCTGAGCGTGCTGGAGGCGAATGCCACCACTCTCTCTCCGTCTGGGTGGATCTGTGAGAGAACGGCCCCGAGACCAATGTCGCTGGCGTCGGTCGTGACGAACGTCTGCAGACTGGGGTCGAACGGTGCCAGCGCAGACGAGTTCAGGATCGCCGACTTCACATCCTCCAGCGCAGCTGTCATCTCCTCCGTCCATCGGAAGGCTGGGGCGTCTTTCCTCAGCGGCTGCCGCAGAGGTTCTACCCGAGAGCTGAAGTTGGGCACGAACTTGCTGTAGAACGCGAGGGACCCCAGTGCAGCCTGGAGCTCCTTGGTGTTCTGGGGTTGTCCCATGTCTCGAAGACCTTGGACCCGATCTGGTGAGATTTCGATCCCACGCTCCGACACGACGAACCCCAGGAACTCCAGCGACACAACACCTAGCAGACACTTGTCCCCGTTCAGCGTGATGTCGTAGTCCTTCAGCCGCTTCATGACGGTGCTGAGCCTCGCGTCGTGCTCTGCACGGGTGGGCGCTGTGACCAGTACGTCATCCAGGTAGACTTGAACACCAGGGATGCCTTGCAGAACAGTCTCCATGAGCTTCTGGAAACACTGCGGAAGACTTTTGAGCCCAAAGCAGCACCGCTTGTACCTCCAGGTCTGACCCTCATGCACGAAAGCAGTGAGGTTCCTGGACTCCTCGTGCAGCTCCAGTTGATGATAGGCTGAGTTCATGTCGAGCTTGGACATCACCTTGGCACCTCGGAGCTTGTCCAGCATTTCCTGCATCGGAGGGATGGGGTAGCCGTTTGCGACAATGGCTTTGTTCACCGCCGTCAGATCGAGACAGATCCTCAGGCCCTCACCTCCTCGCTTCCGGACCACGACAATCGGAGACAACCAGGGCGAAGAGCCACAGGGTACCTTCTCGATGACTCCTTGGGCTTCCAGGGACTCCAGATGGTCACTGACCTCCTGCCTCACAGCGTACGGTAGAGTCCTCAGGTGTGGCGTGCTGGGCACAGCTCCGGGAATCAGACGCACCTTGTGGACGAATCCCTTGATGGCTGGCAGCACCTGATCCTGCTTCACCTGGCAGACGACACTGCCACGGCTCACCGTGACTCCGAGCTGATGCTGGAGATCACGGCCCATGATCGGTACATCACCCACCGCCACGTACAGTTCCGCTGGAACGGAGAGCTGGTCCGGTCCTGTGACGTCAGCTGACATCTTACCCAGCACCTTAATGCCGCTGCCGTTCCACTGGGCGAGCTTACCCGCAGGACGGAGAGGGACGTGACTGAAGAGCTGCCAGTACGTCCTCGCTGGGACGATGCTGACCGCCGAGCCGGTGTCAACCAGCATCCTGACACGCTTCATCTCAATGAAGGCATCATAGTACGGGCACGACACTGTCTGAACGACCGGACATTCGTCATCCTTAGCAGACACGGACAAAATCTGCACATTGTCAACAGCACCGGTCTTGTTAGAACGAGGACAACACTTGCTTAAGTGTCCGACAGTGTTACACTTGAAACATTTCAGGTTCCTCGCTCTGCACTCCTTGTCATTTGCCCAGTGACCCGGTCGACCACAGGCACGACACGTACCTGACTTCTTCACAGGAGGCTGACGCTGCGTCTGCTTACGCGCTGAGTCACTGCGGCTCGTGCTGCGCCGCTGCCCAGTATACGCCACCTCCACCGCAGGAGCTGAAGGTGAAGTCGCACCGGCAGATGAGTCGTGCAGTAGAGCTTTTCGCTGCAAGCCCCGGTCGTGGGCCTCGGCCACAGCCTCTAGCTTGGAGAGAGATAGGTCATCAATCATTATCAGCTTGTCACGAAGCTGGTCAGAGCGACAACCCTCGATAAACTGATCACGCAGCATGTCGTCAGTCAGGGCACCATAACTGCAACAGGCCACTGCCTCGCGGAGGTTGGCCAGGAAAATCACGCATGACTCATCAGGGCCTTGGGTGCATTTCCGGAATTTCAAGCGAGCAGAACGAACATCAGAATCGCTCTCAAACAGTTTCTTGAAAACAGCTACAGCAGCATCGAACTGAGACACAATTGCAGCACCAGCGCCGCCGGCGTCAGTGTCACTTACTCCAGGTTCGATGTTCTCCTGCTTGGTAGCTGAAGCAGCAGCTCGGTAGAGTCGACGTGCCTCCGCTCCGACTGCTGTCAACAGGAACGCTGTCCGACGACCGTCCGTCCAGTCCAACCACCCGCTGGCCTCAGCGAAGACCAGGAAGTCCTCGTACCATTGTCGCCAGCTCCCAGGACGCTGTCCCGGCCGCGACAGGAACTCCGGTGGCGCCGGTGACTGGAACATGTCGTCTTGAATGCAGTCCGCTTATCTCATCCTCGTCGCCACTTGTAGTGTATTGCACTCACACATTCATCACTCGCACTCAAGACTGAACAGTGTACATTCAACTCGACTAATGTGCCCCGCGCCCTTGCCGACGGCTCGCCGGCGGGCACCCGACTCCGTCTCCCGGCCGGCCCGGGCGCGGCGCCGCGGTGCGGCCGTCCCGGTTACCTGACCCGGCCGGCTAAAGGTCGGACTGGCTCCGGCCGCCGCTGCCAGCCGGCGGGGGGCCCGGGGAGGGGTACTACAGTCGTGCTGCATTGATTTTGCATCGTGTGTATTCTTTATACTCCAGGTCACAAAAGGTCAAGTGTTCTTGAAATGCTGCGCCGAAGGCGCGCGAAATTTTTGAAAACAACCTTTTCCTCCGCTTTTTAGGCACGCCTTTTATACGATCACTGTTCAAAGCTCCTCTCGCTCTTTTACCAAATTTGAAAGTGTAAAAAATACCTAAGGTTTGGTCGGGCCGCTGCCACACAAACTGTACAGAAAGCTTGGCTCATGGGTGTCGATGTATAAAAGTTTATTGGCGGTGGCATATCTACGCACCAGATCACCGTATCGGATTGATACCGGAGCGCGAGATGCGTAAACATCATCCAAATTACCTCAGACCAGCCTTCATAGCCTTCTCACAGATGCATACAGTGTACCCACATAACCAGTTTCAATCACCGAAACTTCAGATGCCTGCTGTTGCGCCCGAACCTGTTGACAATACTTAATCGTAATCCATATAGATGCCATGATGCACGTAAAGTAGGATCAATCCGTTAAGACCAAAGACGTGTTTTATGCATCGTAGAGCGTAGATAGTTTTGGTAGGTATAGATACTTCATTCATTGTGCTGAATGCACGTTCATTTGTGGCAGTTTTCACAGGCAAGACATCAACTATATATGTGCAATAGAACGACTAAGTTGAAAAACATGCCAAAGGAGTAAATAAATGATAGGAGGGCAGCGATCAACGGATGTTGCCAATAGGTAGAAGGGCTGCGATCCACAGGAGGGCACTAATAGGTAGAAGAGCCCCGATCAACATCCCGAGTTTCGACAGTAGGGCACCGATAGGTAGGAAGTTGGCGAGCAGCAGGAGGGCGCCAATGGATAGAAGGGCAGCGATCAACAGGAGGGCACCAATAGGTAGGAGGGCGCCGATCAACAATCAACAGGAGGGCGCCACCAGGTAAGAGGGTGGCGAGGAACAGAAGAGCACCAATAGGAGGGTGGCGATCAACAAGAGGTCGCCAATAGGTGGGAGGGCGGTCATCAACTGGAAGTCGCCAATGAGCGGAAGGGTGACGATTAAAATGGGGGTGGCAATGGTGAGGAGGGCGCCTTTGCTCAAGAGGATGACACGAACAGGAGGGCGTCTGTGCGGAGGGCGCTGGTCAACAGGAAGGTGCCAGTGGATAGGAGGGCGGTGATCAACAGGAGGGTGCCAGTGGTTAGGAGGGCGGCGATCTACACGAGGGCGCCAATAGGAGAAGGGCCCCGATTAACATTCAACAGGAAGGACTAGGGAACCAATACGTAGGAGGGCGGCACTGAACAAGAGGGTGCGAAAAGGGAGAAAGGCGGCCTTCAAAATTTCACATGAGGGCTCAATAGGTAGGAGAGCGCCAATAATTATGAGGACGCCGATCAGCAGAAGGGCGGCAATGTGTAGCAGGGTGGCGACCTACAGGAGGGCGCCTTCGGGTGAGAGGGCGCTTATTTACAGGACAGCGGCTTACATAGGCGACCACCGTTACGCTTAGAGAGCTACAGCCTACAAATGTGGTTGGAGGGCGCCCGAGGGAGCCCTCCAACCGTATTTGGAGGGCGTATTTGGAATGGGCGTCTTCCGAGGTCGCCCTCCATCCGTATTTTCCCTGTAAACACATTCGCGATTGGAGGACGCCCTCCAGTCGCGATTATTTTTCGATTCGATTATATCACAATTGCATTTGCGATTGGAGGGCGCCTTCGGCGCCCTCCAATCGCAAAGGGCGCCTTCGGCGCCCAAGGGGGGGCCATGGCCCAGTGCCCCCCCCCTGCCTACGCCCCTGTCCTGTAATTCGGGAACCACTCTGCCGATCGAGACAAAACCGGCAACCGCCACCAGTTGGACGGTTTGCCATATAATTTCATGAGTCGTTTTGAATATGTTGGCCTCAGGTGAGCTCGGTGACCTCAGGAGGTCTTATGCGCGTTTCCGGCTACTCTAAAACTTAGAAACTACTGGAACGATCGAGACTGATCACTGAAACGCTACCGGTCGAGTCGTCATATGAGATTTCACCGGACGTTTTGAGCATGGTGACCTCAGGTGACCTAAGTGACTTGGCAGGTCACCTGAGCGTTTTCGTCTATCATTGCAGCCACCCTAGCTCAAAAAACTATGAAACCAATCGAGACGAAAGTCGAAAATACCACTAGTCGATTCGCCGTATGCGATTTATTTATATTTTCAATGTGGTGACCTCAGATGACCTTGGTGACCTTTAGAGTTTAGCTTGATGATTTCGCATAAGGCAATCAGGTGACCTCCCAAAGTTCGCTGAGGTCACCTGAGGTCAACATATTCGAAATGCTTGATGAAATCGCCTATCTCAATTCGATAAGGTGCTATAGGTATATACAGGGTGCGCCATAAAGATTTACCCATCACAAACTTGTTCGCCAAAACTTTATTTTTAGACATAGAGGTCCGAAAATTGCGCATGCGCGAGGCAAACACGTGACTTTTACGTAAAACAAATTATTTTTTAGGTGAATGACACAGTTTATGCACCATGACCCGGACAAGCAGACGTGACAAAATCGTTGCACTAAAAAATGCCGGCTTCACTGACCGGGCCGTTGCAAAAGAGGTCGGTGCGTGCCGTAAAACCATTTACAATGTAATGAAACGGTACAATGAGAATGGCACAACATCTGACAGACCAATTCCAGGCAGAGAACGATCTGTACTAACTTCAAGTGTCACCGAGGCCGTAAAGAAGAGAATAGCCAGAAATCCAAGGAGGAGTTTGAGGGAGATGTCAAAAGAGATGCATATATCAAAAACGTCTTTGAGGAGACTCGTGAAAGGGAGGCTAAGAATGAAGGCCTACAAGATGTCAAAGCGGCACACGATTTCAGAAAGTTCCAAGAAAAAGCGACTGAGCAGGGCAACAACAATGTTGGAAGAGATGAAGTCCGCCGGTCAAAAGGCCTTTATCTGGTCGGATGAGAAGATTTTCAACGTAGAGTCAGTATCCAACAACCAAAACGACCGGGTATACGCCAAGAGTACCGAAGACATACCTGCAACAAAAAAGTATCATTTTCGAAGACAGAAACCAGAAAGCATGATGGTTTGGGCTGCTGTTGGCTCTGACGGCTCCAAATCTCCTCTGGTCTTCGTGGAACCTGGAGTCAAGGTCAACAGCGCCATCTACGTGCAGATGCTGGAGAGGGAAGTGCTCCCTTGGCTGAAGGAGAGGTACGGCGACCAGTATGTCTTCACTCAAGACGGTGCGCCGGCCCACACAGCGGCCAACACCCAGGGCTGGTGCCGGCAGAACATGAGCGCGTTCTGGTCCAAGGACTGTTGGCCTCCGTCCAGCCCAGACCTGAACCCCATGGACTTTTCCATCTGGTCTATCTTAGAGAGCCAGGCTTGCCACGTCCCCCACAGCAGCTTGGTCGACCTGCGACGCGACCTCCTCAGAGCGTGGAGGGGGATCAGCGAGGAGACCGTGCGGCGGACGTGCGCTGAAGTGCCCTCGCGTCTCAGACGTGTGATCAAGGCAAAAGGCGAACACATCTGAAATCGGCCAGACTAGCCTGTTCGGAGATAGTCTCGTGACTTGTGTGCAAAAAATGGCTTACCTATGTCAACTCGTTTGGAAATACAGTGCATTTTTCGATGGGTAAATCTTTATGGCGCACCCTGTATATACTTTCGTAATTCGTCCCGATCGGTCCAGTGGTTTCTTAATTGTTATAACTGGAGTGCGGCATGGCTGTAAGGGCGGTGGTCGAGAAGGTAGTGTTATCCGTTGCTGAGCTACCTACAGGATTGCTGCAATTGATATAGTACCTATACGCAAAAAGTTAACCTCACAGGGTCATCCGAGTACACCTGAGGTCATCATATTCGGAGCGGCTGACAAAAGCATCAGCAGAACTTTGGTTCGAAAGGCACCGTTTTCGCGATCGGTACGGCGGTTCCAACTTCCAGGTTCCTAATTTGAGGGATGACTGTGGACCTCATGTTCCATCAATTCTATAATTCCATCAAAAAATGACGAAAACGATATAGAGATAAAAGAAAAATAAATAAAAACAACAAGACGGATGGAGAGGCCTGCATGCACCCGAGCTAGCTGCTCTTTTTGGAAGAGCGGAAAAGGAGCCGAACGGCATGAACAATGAACAGGTAAGATGATCCGGATAATTCGCACGTGCGATTGGAGCTGACCCACATACGGTGGCTGATCAGTCACTGCACAGTGCACACGGTTCTTGACGTGCCGGCAGATTATCCTGCTCAAGACCAAAGCTGTTACTTCGGAGAGACGGCCCATGCGGTGACCTCAACCGCAGGCGACTGCGGCGTGTGCGGTCGCGTGGTATACCACGTAACCACACATGCATGAGAGAGCCCTGGCCAGCGACTCATCGCTGTCATTTGATCGGCCCGCTGTAGTCTGGGAGCCACCCGGCACCTGTCATCGAAAGTTGAACGGTGAACCCAGTTGTCACGTGTGACACAAATACGTTCAGCTGTGTGATAATTCTCGGTAGACGGAATAGCATGAAGATCGAGGTTTTGCGTGTAGGTATTAATTCTTAGACTTCTAACGTATTCGTCTAACGTAAGTATAAGTTTATCCATTCATAACAAGACTTTTATGCAACATTTAAACCTCGCCCACATTGGTGTTTTGCCAGCCGCGAACGTATGCCTAAGGGGGAGGGGGTCCGTTGGAACCCCTCCGCATTGCCGTTTCGCCCCTGATTGAGCTAGAGCTTCGCGGAAAAAACGAGCGTGTTGCCCGTGACGAGAGAAAACCGATGATACCCAATTTTAAGGTCCTAGGTCATCGGTTGACCTTCCAGGTCAGATCAATGACCCAAAAGTCGGGAAAATCGGGACCTGTTAAAACGTTGTAAAGTGTGGCTGCTATAAGGTTTTTCGGGGTGCTGATCACGAATATCATGTTAGTTTTGATCACAGATGTTTCCATGCATTTAGGCCAGGTCGGGTCAGGTCAGGTCAGGTAAGGTAAACCAGTAGGGGTCCTGTCGGGTATTCGTAGTGTCAACCGCCTCTGACAGCTTCGTAACATGTTACGAATGCACCAAAACCACTTCTTAAATGTTCAGCTGGATGCTAAATTCGATTTCAGCTCCAAAAACTAGCTTAAACACATGTGGGTCATTCCACGTCAAATCGATCACGAATGCACCCGACCTCCTTCGTTTGGATGAAATTTGGTAGGCTCTTAGCACCTGTGAAAAACAATACATCCTACAATTCCTACAAGTTTTAGTCCTGGGTGACCTGACCTCTGAGGTCAGAGTTATGGGTCATGAAAGGTCAACGATTTTTGCCGACATTGCGGGATTTAAATGCCCATTGCTCTGTAAGTAAGAGTGCGGGGAAGCTGCGGCAAGCGCCATTAGAGAGGCAATGGATGTAGGTTTTATAGAAAATTTTATATATGTCGGTGACCTTTCAATGACCTTTGACCTGAATAGGTCAAACTGGGTATTTTCAAATTTGACCGTGTTCTGTACCTCAGATGTTTACGAAAAATTAGCAGAAGATGTATCATAGTATTGACAGTAAGTAAGACAAAAAATATTTCTGGGGAAATTCTAACTTGTAAAGAAATAAATCATCATATCAAGCCAAACGCGATATACGAAATATGCCCTCAGGCTATTTGACGAATCCCGGCTAATTTCCCGCCTCTCGTTGGCCCGATTGGGCTACAATTTGGTATGCACAAATACAATACACTGATACCCGACCCGAGGTTGATACTCGATTTTAAGGTTCTAGGTCAACCGGTGACCTCTGAGGTCAGGTCAAGTGTCCTAAGGCACGGTTCGGTTTTTGGCGAATAACTTCGCAAAAAACGGCCGCAGAGCCGCGATTTTGGCAGCATTGTGTTTGCCTTGCTCAGGCGCGTCGAATGATATACTTTTTGTTTGGGTGAGGTCAACTTAGGGTGTTGACCTCGGGTCACGGTCAGGTCAGCGCCCCCAGGTCACTCACCCAAAGCTGTTGACCTCACCCAAACAAAAAGTATATCATTCGACGCGCCTGAGCAAGGCGAACACGATGCTGCCAATTGCCAAAATCGCGGCTCTGCGGCCGTTTTTTGCGAAGTTATTCACCAAAAACCGGACCGTGCCTTGGGACACTTGACCTGACATCAGAGGTCACCGGTTGACCTAGGACCTTAAAATCGGGTATCAACCTCGGGTCGGGTATCAGTGTATTGTGCATACCAAAATGTAACCCAATCGGGCCAACGAGAGGCGGGAAATTAGCCGGGATTCGTCAAATAGCCTCAGGGCATATTTCGTATATCGCGTTTGGCTTGATATGATGATTTATTTCTTTACAAGTTAGAATTTCCCTAGAAATATTTTTACCTTACTTACTGTCAATAGGTACTATGATACATCTTCTGCTAATTTTTCGTAAACATCTGAGGTACAGAACACGGTCAAATTTGAAAATACCCGGTTTGACCTAGTCAGGTCAAAGGTCATTGAAAGGTCACCGACATATATGAAATTTTCTATAAAACCTACATTCATTGCCTCTCTAATGGCGCTTGCCGCAGCTTCTCTGCACTCTTACTTACAGAGCAATGGGCATTTAAATCCCGCAATGTCGGCAAAAATCGTTGACCTTTCATGACCCATAACTCTGACCTCAGAGGTCACCCAGGACTAAAACTTGCTGAATAGATTGCCTTCCATGGGCACCCCGAACATACCAAATTTCATCGAAATCGAAAGGGGTAGGGGTCGGACGATAGTACCAAATTCTGATCGATTTGACGTGACCCATGTATAACTCGAAAAAGTGAACAGAGGTCATCAAAGCTTTTACTCCCGTCTCCCGCTCTCACATTGCGCACTAAATTTCCCTGCGTTGGTCGTTTGAGAATCGTTGGCGATCTCCACCCTTTGTTCGCCTGTCGGCCCTCCTGCCGATATTTATTACACCGCCGCACGTAAACGTATATCGGCCGTTTTCTGGGCATTCTGTCTGTCTGTGTGTCGGTCGTCGGTGCGTAAGTCTGTGTCGGGGTGAGTCAGCCGCCACGGTCGGGCGCCCTTTCCAGGTACCCGCCTCACCCCGCCCCAGCCCGGCCCCGCCCCGGCCCGCTGCGGCAGCCCGGTGTGTGCGACATGCAGCTCGGCTCGGGCGACGCGCTGCCGACGCTCAGTCGTGCTCCGAGCCCCGTCGCCGCCGGTCGTTGCATGCTGCTGGGGCCCTCCTGCTGGTACAGAGACCGGACAGCGGCGGCGGCGGGTCGACTGGCCAACCGAGACATCACATTCTAACTGCAACTACAAGGTGAGCGAGGTCTTGTGAATGTGCACCCTTTCCTTTGTGCACAGTTCACAAGGTTTGACGTAGCTACTAGCTATGGCAACACAATGCAGTACACCGTCACGCATATTTAATTGCGTGTTTATAGTCCGTTAAACGGCTCGATCAATAAGTGCGAGGCAATGCACCGTTTCTTTCCCGGACAGGCCTGGTAACTTTAATTCGGCGCTATTCGGTTGTATACGTAACACGGGATAGACGGTGTAGCCTTTTATCCCAAGGTATCAATGTCACCCCGGTCACCCCACTGTGTCAAAATTATATAACATTTTTTTCGGTTCATAACATTTTCAAGCATCATTTTACGCGTTTTATATAATGCCGGACGGCATACTTTTGCAGCGAGCCGAATACCGTTTAATTGTCCTGGGACACTAAAACACCGGCGCTACGATAGAGGTCACCGTGATGTTCACCGTATCACTGAGACCGTATCAGCGTGCCGCTGTCCGTTCACAGCCCTATTTATCGGCCTCTGTGGGCTGTGGCGTCATTTCGACACGCTATACCGCGGGCTGCCAGCTGGAAATCAATCACACGGGCCAGTTTTTTACAGCCCAACATAGCTGACGTGGCGGACAGGACCGACTTTTCCAGGAAAATAACCCAACTAACTAGACGTTGGCATAAACTCCACGAAGGTTTTCGAATGCTTGTTTCATTGTTAGCCGCGGGAATGTTGAAAACACAGAGTTGTTGCGAAAAGCGACCTCGCATACCTACCGTTTTATTAGCTGTATGGCTAACAGTACGAACGCATTCCTATCATCAGTCCCCTGACCATTGCTTTTCAGATGCTGCTGCCAACCCTCCTCCTCGGGTGTTTCCTGTTGGTGACGGATGTAACCGGCCACAAATATTCGACCAGCAAATGTCCGAATCCCAATCCCGTGAAGGACTTCGACGAGTCTCAGGTAAGCGTGATCTCGGCAAAAAAGGAAATACTGTCAGAATACTTTAGTGGAACTGGAACAGAGACGGAATGCAATTTTATATAAAAAAAAACATTCATATGAAAACGGTTTCTGCGGTCTTGTCAGTCTCGGGGACAGGACAGACCAGCAGTGACCATCAATTGTTCAACTTTTGACCGCGTGCGACCTGTCCGCCTCTCCTCTCTCAGATCCTGGGAAAGTGGCGCGTGGAGTACGCCGTGAAGACGACCAGCACGTGCTTCGACATGGACTTCCGCAAGGAGGGCAGCCAGCTCATGGTGTACGAGACCAAGGAGCCGGCGGCGCCCGAGAATCTCAGTCTGGATGTCAAGTACGGCTCGGTGGGCACCCTGGCCTCCACGGCCCAGGCTGGCTACTACCAGGCCTCCTTCTCCACCAGTGAGTTCCGTACACAGACAGTTCTGAGCCCGGCAATTGTTTGTAGCTTCTCATGATCCTAAGCATTAATTTCTAAGAATTTCCAGTCTGAGTCAATAATTGTAATAGTCGCTCGCTAGTTTACAAAATACTTGTAAGCTGTACATAAATGACTGCTTCCTTATCAAGACATATGCTTGCTAAAAACATTTTTATCGCCGTTTAAATTTGGTGGATCCGTCCCTACGTTGACTGCAAGTTATATTCATTTCGTGGGCGTTCACCGGATGTTACGATTCCAACAAAATCACGTCATAAATGAGGTGATTTTATGGCATATATGTGATATTCGAAATCACCGACCACTTGCACTACCTTTACGTCAGGCGTCGAACTGGGCTCACGCATCACGGTCGTCATCAGAGTCATGTCACGTCCCATGTCCCTGTCCCGGCCACCGGGTGCGAATAATGTCGGCAGCCGTGGTCGGCGTCGTGCTAGGGCTTGCGGCACGGGATATGTAGCTATAATATAACGACAGATATAGTCTAACGACAAATATATGTCGTTTGACTATATGTATATCCCATGCTGGTGGTGTGCTGATGCTGACGAATACCATGGCGGTGTGGTCAAATGGTGAATATTGAACCGAGCCAAAATCAGACCGTACTTGTTGAACCGAGCTATGTCTTCGAAAGCAACCTTTAGATATCTGTTGTAGGGCACACTCACCCATTCTCAAAGCATTCCCCAAAAGGGGAAATCGAATAACGCCTCCTCTCCATCAGTGCAACTCCAAAGCACCCTTTTATCGCCACCGTTCCCTGCATCTTGCCTCAGTCATGGCCCCTCCCATGACAGCCTGTCTACGCTCTCCGCTCTCAGGTGTGATTTCCGGCCGGTTCGTGGTGCTGGACACCGACTACAAGACCTACATGGTGGTGTTCCACTGTATGCAGATGTCCATCCTCGGCAGCAGGAGGGCCGTCTACGTCCTCTCCAGAGACGGCGCCAAGATCACCGACGAACGGCTCAAGCAGGTGCGTACCAATGCTGTTTTATTACCTTATTTATGCAGATTATTTTACTAATAAAGAAAACACGGGATCGCATGACTCAGTACGGATAGATCGTAGACCGGGTATGTTTGCCGCGGAAAACGTTAGTCATACGATATGTACCCTAGTAACTATGTAAGTAATCATAGGCGGATGCAAGGCGGATGCATGACGCATGTTAGGATGTACATAGGACGACAAATAATAAGCCAGGCGATGACTAGATTGATAGTCAGCTGGAACCATCCCGACTTTTTCCGTCCCAGGGAGCGGTCGTCCAAAAGTCAAGTGGTACTTACTTGACTTGTCTGCATTTATAAGTGTCCGCATTTCGACAAGACAAGTCTGTTCCTAATCGTATACATAAAGATACAACTGATTACCAGTTTTCGTCACATTTCCAACCGAACCTACCCACATCCGGTTGCCCGAAAGCCGCCCCCATTCGCCGCCTCGCCCTCAAACCATTGGCTCCGGCGGTCGCCTGTCCTTGTCGCTTCGTCAGCCACGCGCGTCCCGGGTCAGAAGCCGAGTCGCCGCGGCGCTGCCGCAGCTCTCCGTGACGCATACATACATTACACGGCCTTACACGTCATCGTCTGGCCAGCCGGGCTCAATTGTACCGAACGGCTTCCTTGGTCCTCGAGCGGTGTCTGAGAACGGCGCCTAACGCACCGCGGTGACAAGAGGATGCAGCCATGTTCCGTGTAGTCCCGCTCATGAATGGAATGCGCGCTGGTCTGCAGCAGGTCATTATTCAAGCGTTTGGTGCCAAGATGGGATGAATGGGCGAGCCCATGCGCTTGATCACATGGAATGTCGGATGGGCTGCTCTCAGTCAGTAGCCAAATGGAATTGATACGTTCCTCGAAGTTGAGCGGCCCCTTTTGCCGCGTTCGTAGAGCACTCAAACCGTTTCAGAATAAACGGTCAACAAAACGGGAGCAAAGTTTCTGAATAGGAGAAGCAACAATTGGCATATACCTTATCCTAACTTTTTCAATGAATATTTTTTTGCGAAGTATTTGTTTCTCTGTTGCCGATTCCATAGACAAATCATCAAAATAATCACGAACCTCCCACATAGATTAAGTGAGTGCTGATCTGTGATCTTTGACTGCTAACCTGTATGACCTCTGACGACCTGTGACCTCTGACCTCTTGACTATGACCTCTGACTGCTGACCTGTCTGACCCCTAACTGCTACCTGTATGACCCCTAACTGCTGACCTGTATGACCCCTAACTGCTGACCTGTACGACCCCTAACTGCTGACCTGTCTGACCCCTAACTGCTGACCTGTACGCCCTCTGACCGTTCCCCCGCGACCCTCCGCCGTCAGGTGCGCGGCCGGCTGCCCGAGCTGGACGTGGAGGCCGGCCTGCTGGCCAAGGTGTCCCACGAGCAGTGCACCACCGCCGAGCAGGCCGACGTCGACCTCACCGGCTCCGTCAACGTCAAGGACGTGCTGAAGGCCGCCAAGAAGGTCGTCACCGTCGGCGGCGGCATCCTGGAGCTGGTTCAGGTGTTCGGCGCGCTGGGCTGAGCTGAGCTGAGGGCGTTACACGCTGGGCTGAGGGCGCTACACGATGGGCTGAGCGCGTCAAACGCTGCGCTGTGGGCGTTACACGCTGGGCTGAGGGCGTTGCACGCTGGACTTGGGGCGTTACACGCTGGGCTGAACGCTTCAGACTCGGGGGTGAGTGCGCCCGGCTAATTTAAGGTGCCGAGTGACCAGTGTTCGGTACTCTGTATGTTGCCCCCTTGCGAAGAGGATGGTGAAGCACGGGTGTTTTTTATGTATAGGTATCTGTTAACTCAATGAGTTCCAGAAGCAAAATTGAACGGGGGTGTATTATCGTTTCAAAATGAAAACGGAGTGGAAAGCAATATGATCGACTTTCAGGCTGACCAGCTTATGATTTATCAGTCCCTACTTTGTAGAAAAAAATAGATGTGAACAAAATATAAATCCCATTCCACTTTATTGAAAGGTAACGCTCATCAATCGTGATGAATGCTCCATATTTATGTGAATCGTAGCTTTATTGGGTCAACCTCCCAAAAATTGTATGTGTTTTAACATTGCTTTAAGCCACCAGTCGCTGCTTTAAGAACAAGTGCCGTCTGTCTTAAAGGTACCGCGCAAAGTAACGGTGGATCCATCAAGCCTGACCGAAGGGCTTAATTTGAGTCACCGAAGCAATGGACATCCTCGTCCATTGCCCAGGTCAATTGGTTCGGTGACTTTTAAATTATAGCAGGCACTTCCTCGGTCAGGCTTGATGGATCCAACGTCACTTTGCGCGGTACTTTTAAGACAGACTGTACATTATTTGTTGTGTAGGAACTAGGAACGAAGCGTTGGAACGAATGCTAAGTCGTCGTTGTTGAAGCATGTTATTTTGTTTGTGACTGGGATTGCGCCGATTGCGTGTTGTGTCTCATTCCTAGTGACTGTTAGCAAGATATCGCACAAGAACGCGATCCAGCGCGATCTTTTCGCGTCGCGATCACTCAGTAGGCATATAGTGATCGCTGCTCGGTGCTTTTGGACGTGCTGTGTAGTTTGTACGGAGCGAATAGTGAATACGATTCGTGGTGAGAGCTGCAAATATCGAACATTGCACAACGCGTTTTACCTACTTATTACGAGTACCTACATTATACACGCTAGTCACCGTCAACGTCAATGTCTGAACCAATCGCCCATTTCGCGTCATTTTTATCGCTTATAGATTCACAAATAAACACCCACAAAACTTATCTGTATTTTATGATGTACGAAAAACGCAGAGAGACATGACTCCGGCAGTGACCGACCAGGGTTGACCGTGTGAGATTTCGACCAGGTTCACAGTCCGTTCGACATCCCGACGCCGTCTTGGCCGCTCGCTGCGGTGGCTGCCTCGCCGGTCTCCACTTATCGGCGCTACCTCTTGCGGCACATGTGGTCCCACACACATCCGATACAGAAGCTGGAACAGACGGGACGGTAGAGGGTCATCCCTGGTGGCTTCGGCCCCTCGAGATCATTTTTAGTGTTATCGGGAAACTGGTTTCCTTTTATGTCGTCTGATTCAGTGGGTTCTGATTCATTCGTCCGTTTTCATCGTCCGATCCGCATCGAATGACATCATGGATGATGAGACAAAGCGTTCAACGCATTTCTGCTAAACAGCTTCGGAGAAGCGATAGCTGGAGTCTGAAGAATCAATAACCGAAACAGAAGCTGAAATTCACAGAAACTTCTCGGTATTGTTGTAAAGTAAAATGACCAGTAAATCGGTTCAAAAGGACTAACCGATCTATAACTGCCGACTGCCGAGTTAACATCCCTCGTTATTCACCGGCCTTCGCGTAAAAGCGCAACATCTAACATCAGACACATATTCCGACTATATGTACTGTAAACCATCGCTGACTGTTTTGCCCATTGCGTTACGTTACCGCCCTCCCACCCAGGCCGTGACTCACAAGTCTTCCTCGACCTTTTCGACGCCGTCCATCTCTGAGCGCCGCAGCAGCGTCTCCGCGGAGAGGGCCGGCGCCGTCTCCAGTCGCGATATGTGCTGGGTCACCGCGTGCTGAGACTCTGACCGACGAGAGACGGATAACGATGGAGAGACAAAATGAGATATAATAGGATAGGCAGCGGTGTCGGGGGCGGTCCTACACAAGGGTTCGAGCGAGTAAATGGCACGGTGAATGCTCGGACCGCTTCATGTGGCTACCTAGCGCTTACGTTCAAAGTCATGCTTTGTTGACTGTTCATGACACGATTGCCAATAGTCTGAGTCGACCCATGACGCATTTAAACTGATAATGTATGATTTCAACGCAAACAAGCTAAGAGCTAAAAGAATTCCCCCCAGATACGCGACACCATCGAAACCACTGAGACAGTCTAAACGAGGTCATCTGACCGCACATCCCCACTCAAAGATGAATCACGAGCACACATGACACACGTTACACCGTCCACAATCTCAGCTCTATCAGAGGCCACGCACGACCGACTCACTCATGGCTCCGGTGACATGCAGCACGTGCAGCGGCGAGTGTGCCTCCGCCGGCGTCTGGACCAGCAGCAGCAGCGTCAGCAGCGGCCACAGGAAGACGGCGAGCCTCATGTCGGCGGAGAACGGAGTCGGGACGGCGCGGAGCAGGTCAGGGAGCAGACTGAGCTCCCCGGCGCCGGCAGGGCGGCCAGCGGGCCGGCCATTACCGGTAAACGGTCTCAGGTGCGCAGTAATGACGCGGTGATAGCGCGATGCTCAGGTGGGGTCACCTACTGCAGCTGTGAGATTACTGGGGGTGTCGTGAGGGCAGAACTGCCATCAGAAACCTGAATTGAGCCTGAATTGGCTCGCTGAATTGCGTTGATGTCGCGGCAGCCCCGATGTTTCTATTTGCTCTTGCCCACTTAATAAAAATATGAATAATGCGCACATGCTTACTTGTATTTGGTTGGAATTATGAAAGGTGACGACGAATTTGCAATTCTGCAGTGTGACACACTACAATCATTTGACTTCGTATTAATTGACAGACATAAGTGTGAGCATTATAGGTACGGTTCCCTTCATATTGGAAACGTAATGCCACGAAAACATGTCAAAACTACGCGTCTGATTGCACAGACTGAAAGACAAAACGAAGACGGCGACTAGCACATTCCTGCAGGACTGTAACTACGTCAACTCTACTCGCCGACTAGACATGATAAGCGTAGGGCACGATCGGAACTTTCGTGCATAACGACATGACCAGCGAACAAGATTGCTCACCCATCACTAAAGTCAATATGGTAGTCGTTATCATTCGTAATAAGCTGGGTTATGATGACTCGTCAAAGGCAGTGTACGGATACTGGTAAAACAGTGGTTCAAAACTTGCTATCGCTAAAATTATCATCCTGGCTATGAAGTGCGAAGCTGACAACTACTCGACTAGGTATCGCCATTGCACGAAATCTCAAATTTACCCAATAAAAGTAACGGAGGCGTTTGAAATGCCGACCAAACCTTCTTCTCCCCTGTCCAGCCCGCGGTCGTCTCTCGTCTCTCGCTCGTGGTCGTGTCTCTCCCCTGGCCCCTCTACTGCCGCTTGCTGCCGGGCCGGCTGGCGGGCCGCTCAGTGCCGTCCGTGGTCGGACTGTCTGCGCGCGCGGCCGCCGTCAGCCGGTTGTCCACCTGCTGCTGGTGCACGGCCGAGGCCAGCAGCCGGATGTTGCGCAGACAGCCGGCGGCGTGCTCCTGCAGCTGCTGGTCGTCCGAGCCGCACATGGCCAGCAGCGGCCCGACCGCCTGGAACTCGTGCAGTGTGATGCAGTTGCGCGGCTCGCGGCTCAGCTGGAACAGCGCCAGCGCCGTCGGGCGGTGCACCAGCGGCTCGCGCGAGGCCAGGTAGCGCACCAGCGGAGCCACCGCCTTCTGCTTGCCGAACTGGAGTCGGTTCTGTCCCCACTGGCAGCAGCAGGCGATCGCCTTGGCCAGGTACTGGCGCACGCGGTCGTTGTCCTGACGGGAAGGACAGAGGGAAAGGGGATCAGTCGACTGGGCAGATAAGCTGGATGTAACGTGTATGTCTGGTCGCTAGTTGCAAACTCCAGCCCCCATGAAGAAGCAGTTGGTGCGACAGATAGTAAGTCGGTCACTGTCAATTGTGAATCAGTCGAAACTTCAAAGTAGGGCTGCGGAATCTGAGTCGTTTTTTTTTTCGGTCAACAGTTCTGCCCGGAGTCGCAGTCGGAGTCGGAGTCGATTTTTGGAAGCCAGAGTCGGAGACAGCTGATGCGCAGTCACCGAAAATCCACCGACTCCGCAGCCCAGCTTCAAAGTATCAGCGAACAATAAAAACAAACTTTTTTACTTCTAAACATGCATGGCCATTGCACTGATCAGGCTGGTAATAGGCATGCGTTTTATTCCTTTGTTTAAATCTTGTCAAACCGGAAACATCTGCAGGGCGCCAGCGAGACGGGACCTACTCCCTCAGACCGTCGGCAGTCGCCATCCTCCCGCCACGTAGGGTAAGGGCGGGTAAGAGCGGCCCCCGCCGAAGTTAGTTGGTAGCACTGCTGCTCCACGGCGTACATTTCCTACCAGCCCATAGGGTTTACATGATGGCCTGTTTTCGGCGAGCGATATCTCGGTCAACCTTTCAAGGAATCAATGGTTCTTGGTCTCAAATGATAGATCGATGAATTTTCTTTCGACAATTCATCTACCATTTTTCACGAAACCCAGCCGATCTTCTACGGCGTACAGGGTAAAGATTTCTCTGCACGCCAGCACCCGCGATCCGCCTCTCCGATCGTCGGCGCGCGGTCCGCGGTAGCGCAGTCGGTAGCGTATCGGGCTACGGATCCGAGGGTCGTGAGTTCAAATCCTGGGAGCGCCGCGTGATTTTGGCTAGAATTGGATGATGTAGATTCTTGAATGTTTGCATAATCAATTATTAATAGCTTATTGAATGTATCTGCCCACTTATCGGCCCCTAAAACCTGTTATTTAAGGAATTTAAGAAACGAATGTCACGTGCGCGTCACGACTGCCAGCCATAAGCGCTACCATATTCTAGTTTGAACTAACTTTTTGCTAGTCCCGACCACATATAGTAGGTTTTCTAGTAGTTATACTAGAAATTCCTACTAAAGTTCGTCCTACCCGTCACTCAATATACCCTGGGTAAGAGTACGCGGGCGATAAAAGTACGCATCAGCTGTTTCGGTTGCTTAGCAACGCGGGTTTGTCGAGTTCATGAAGTGACATGAAGCCGCCAGTGCGTGCATTTCACCAACGGAACGTGGGCGTTGAGCGGCGACGCTGTTGAGTTGAAGGCGATGAATATTATTTTCGAGCGTTATGATATTATTATGATATGGTACAATAATTAATAATACAGATATGGTACAATAACATTTCCGTGATTGTTGTGGGAAACTTGTGAGGTTATCTGGGGTAATACTGTACAGTGAAATATTCTGTTTGCGAAGTTTTGCACAACGTTTCGGGGTTGTTTTGTGCGCGAATTGCATGTACGGTAAGAGGACGCACTATTCAGGAGGGTAAGAGTACGCAGAATTATACCGTAAACCGGGGTGAGTTGATATGGATTTTGAGGTTATTCTATATTTCGTTAAAAGCCACATTCATTTACGGAATTCTTTTTGTGCCAGTTTCATGGCACATGCCTTGGGGAGGCAATCAGCAAAAATGAATAAAAAATGTATATATTAAGCCCCTTTTTTAAAACGCCAAAGTTCATATCAACTCACCACCCCACAGGGGGTGAGTTGATATGATTTTGGATTTTTCAAAATCTCTCGGCTAAAGAAGCTCAGAGGTGAGTTGATAAAATGCCAGTGTTTAAAAAAAGGATGAGAGAACACATCCTGAAAGAAACCATTAGAAAAATGATAGTAGTTTGGCAGCAGACCTCACATTCATGAAAACGCAATCATGTCCAACACAGCGCTATCAAAATGGCTTGATTTTAGCAGCATCATTTTTTCGCTTTATGATACTTAGTTTTACTTAGAACATTCTGAACTTGGCTAGTCACGTGTCCTCAAGCCAACGATATCAAAACTGGCAATATATTTTGGAATTACAAGTGTATTTTCTTGTAATTAAAACACATTGTCAGTTGCGGTTCAAGGTTGATATGCCTCTGACAGAAATAATGGATTGAAATGAAAGAATACATATACTTCTGAGCTTTTGTGGACTGGTAGTCAACAAAATATTAATGAAGTGAAGTGAAGCGAATCTAATTCGGACTGTATTCTATCAGGTGAAATAAGCGACATAAAATAGAATTCGGCATCAAAAGCCAAAATTAACCCTCGCACTTATAGGCGGGCGAACGGACCACCTCGGCTTTTCGCACATAACTCGCGCAAAAAGCGGCCGATCGCGACGAAACTTTCAGTGCCTCTCGAGTTTATCAATTTTCCATATGTTCTAAAGATTTCATGACCCTGACTCAAATGGTTTTTGACTTGTGACCTGATTCTCGAGACCATGCTTGGCCGGAATCGCGATTTGGCGTAGTCGGCTCACATTATCCGCGCATTTCCAGTCTTTTTGTGATTGTAACGTCCAAACATGTAAATGATGTTGGTCCCATGCAGTATTGTGGGTGTCAACTGTCAAGGTCACCTGAAGGTCAGGTCAGGTCATTGACCTTTTGGTGACCTCGGCTCACTTTTGGAGGTTTACATGTTTCTAGGGTAGTTTTTTCGGGCCGATGTCGAATTTAACATGCATTTGATCATTTACGAAGTAGTTTTAGTGCCTTCGTAACATGTTACGACACCGTCAGTGGTAGTTGACACTTGACACTCCCTATGGATAGCCGGCAGGACACCTACTGGTTGACCTGACCTGACCTGACCTGGCCTTAATGTACGAAGACACATGTGATCAAAACAAACATGACATTCGTGATCAGCAACAGCCAAAAAATAATAACCTCGCTTTACGAACTTCAAATAACCCCTTATTTTCCCGACTTCTGGGTAATTGACCTGGCCTGGAAGGTTAACCAATGACCTATGACCTTAAAGTTGGTTATCATCGGCTTCCTCGCGTCTCGGGCAACACGCTCGTTTTTTCCTCGAAGCTCTAGCTCCACCATGGGTCAAACGACGCTGGGATTCCAACGGACCCCCCCCCCCTATATGTTAAACGCTGGCAAAACACGAATACCGGTGAGGGCTAAAACACCAGTCAATTTCTTTATATTGTTTGTTCCATTTCATTTTGTCACTCTTTCTCGGTTGGCAACTGCCAAGTAGGAAAACTTATCAGTTTCACGAGATCAGAATTCCCGCGCTGTTAGCCATACAGAAACGACAGTTCTGTCATTTTCGAAACCACGAATAATTATAACATTTTTTTTTAATCTGTATGTATATAGGTGTTCTATAGTGTTCCTTTGTAGCTTGTAGGGAGCCATCTTGAGACTTGACAGGGAGTTGTGCTGTGCCTTTTGCATGTTAGGTATGTCCACAGAAAAAAAAAACTTTGGGGTCACTGATGTTAGTTGTCGGACCTTCGTCCCCGTCTTGAGTTGAGAATTGAGATGTTAGTTTCAAATGTTTCGGCCAGTTACTCTCCGGCCGTCGTCACTCGTCAGGTGTTCTTTGACCCTCAGAAGGACCTGGATGTTGGTGGCGTTGCGCCGTACGCGTCCAACCGTTCGAAAGCTCCTGTAGTCAGCGGGAATCGAACTCGGGTTTCCCCGGTGATGGTCCAAGGTTCTAACCACTCCACTATCGAGGCATATTTGACCATGGCCAGAGAAGTTACTTGCTGAAACGTTGTGAAACTAACATCTCAACTCAAGACGGGGACGAAAGTCCAAAAACTAATTCATCAGTGATACTAACAGGCCTCGTCTCAAGCATTCAGAAAAAAACTAAAGCTTTTGGGGGTTGATGGAATGATGTGGGGAGAGAAAAGGAGAAGAGTTGGTCTAATTGACTTTGTCTTACTTGCAGACCCATATTTCATGCTAATTTGCATGCATACCAGCCTGGTATCAGCTTTTATCATGCATATCAACTCACCACTTGATGGCATATCAACTCACCACCTGTCACTTTTCTTAAAATTATAAAAAAGCGTTGTTATAGGTGAAACCCAAAACTACCTGGGATGAACAGTAAATTGATGGTAGTTTCTTTCCCAGTGCATGTTGTTCCATGAATATCCACCGTCTTTGCTGTAGGGTGGGGACTTTTCCTTAGTTTCAAAATCAGAAGAAAAAAAGGACTTTGAAAAAAGTAATGTGTTAAGAAGGTACTGCACCACATGCATGCCTTCCTCAGCTATATGCATCACTTATTGGTTGCTTCACTTCACAGAAAAATAAAACTAAAAATTGGTTTACAAATGGATGAGCAGCACACATTTTAACATTTTTCGAGCAATTTATATCAACTCACCACCCCATATCAACTCACCCCGGTTTACGGTACATTAAATCGAATATACAGAAATATAGAATTATTAATCTATCGCTCAATGACGTTTGTTTTGTAGGTATATCATCAATGGAGCACTGTGATGCAGATGCATACCCGAAATTCTTCCAAATACGAGCTATTCTCCTTTTAGATTGTGCATTTTTTAAAGAAACATACGACATGATTATTTCCTGATTTTAGACTTGAAAGATTTATTTTATGTTTTTCTTTTTGGATACTAGAATTAACTGAAATGCCTTCTGAGTTTGAAGTTAAGCATTTGGACAGTGCAAGCTGCATAGCTGTGTTTTCATATGCTTGCGTACTCCACCCGCCTGGCGTGCGTACTCTTACACACCCCATATGGTAAGAGTACGCAAGTGCAACGGTTCAGAAAATGTCAGTTTTAGACCACTTCCATTTACGCTGAAGGATTGTTGCCCCATGGGTTGATGGCTAATTCAATGAACTTTAATATTCCCTATTTGCGATTTCTTTCCTTCAAATATTAAACAAATGAGAGCAAGAAATCCACTAAGTGCGTACTCTTATACGACTTCACCCTACATACCGTGCCGGTGAGGCTGGCCAGCTGCGGTACCACGCCGTGGTCCGTGATCACCGCCAGGTTCTCCTCGTCTTTGGCGATCTCCGAGATGGCGTTACAGATGGCGGCCAGCACCTCGGGGTCCGGCGAGCGCAGTAGGCCGACAATCAGCTCCAGGCCGCCGACGAACGAGCGGACCATCTCGCCGGCGTCCTGCACGGCACGGTACACGGGGGCACGGGGTGTCACTGGCCGGCAGTCAACTCAAGGGACCAGCGGGGTCGGCAAATAGGAACAGGGGGGGGGGGGTGTCATAGACCGGCACAGTTCAGGTAGAACGTAGCATAGTGCAGCTGTATATAGCTGCAGTACTCTTGGTTACGTAAGCCGACAAAAACTTCTGCGGGAATCCATGCAAGCGACATTGAATTATTGAATAGCACTGACACAAATCGATATCTGCCGGCAATCAGTCGACGATCCAATATGATAAAACTGCACAACGAGCCCTAACAAATTCTGAGCGACACCATCCACATTCCTCACTATCGTACCACTAACGATTCGCCAGGCTCACCTGTGCGTTCTGAATACACGGGCAGATGGCCCAGGCGGCGGCCGCCTGCACCTGGTAGCACGGGTTTTTGAGCAGCGACCAGAGCAGCCGCACACCGTCCAGCGCGTCGATGGTCATCATGCTCTCCGGGTCCACGGCACAGGCGCCGATGGCGTGAGCGACGTTCACTAACAGCGCCTGGAAGGGTGGTAAACGTGACCGTACAATTATAAATACAGCACTAAGTCTTGCCTGAAGTCGGTGTATCAGCTGAATTATGAGACTAAATTGTACTAAAAGCAGGGGCGGATCCAAGGGGGGGGGGGTCACATGGGTCATGGCCCCCCCCCCTTGAGGCCCGGGGGCCCAAAGACCTGCCAGGGGCACCACCGGCCTATCAGGGGTATCACAGTCCTGACAGGGGCACCACAGGACCGCCAGGGGCACCACAGGCCTAGCAGGGACACCACGGGCCTGGTGCCCCTGGGCCCTGACAGGACTGTAACGCCCCTGACAAGCCTGAAGTGTCCCCGGCAGGCACGTGGTGCCCCTGACAGGCCTGAGGCGCCCCTGCAAGGCCGGTGGTGCCCCTGGCAGGCCTGTGGTGTCCATGGCAGGCCTGTGGTGCCCTTGCTAGGCTTCTGGTGCCCCTGACAGGCTTGTAATGCCCCTGGAAGGACTGTGGTGCCCCTGGGCCCTGACAAGCTTGAGGTGCCCCTGACAGGCCAGTGGTGCCCTTGCTAGGCCTGTGGTGCCCCTGGCAGGCCTCTGGTGCCCCTGACAGGCTTGCGGTGCCCTTGGAAGGACTGTGGTGTCCCTGGGCCCTGACAAGCCTGAGGTGCCCCTGACAGGCCCGTGGTGCCCTTGTTAGGCCTGTGGTGTCCCTGGCAGGCCTCTGGTGCCCTTGCTAGGCCGCTGGTGCCCCTGGCAGGCCTCTGGTGCCCTTGCTAGGCCGCTGGTACCCCTGCGCCCGGAGAGGACTGGTGCCCACTGCCCCTGAAAAGTCTGAAGTGCCTCTCGACAGGCCCGTGGTGCCCCTGGGCCCTGACAGGCCCAAGTTACCCCTGCGAGGTCGGTGGTGCTCCTGGCAGGCCTCTGGTGCCCCTGGCAGGTCTGTGGTGCCCCTGGCAGGTCTGTGGCGCCCCTGGCAGGTCTGTGGTGCCCCTGACAGGCCCAAGGTGCCCCTGGCAGACCTCTGGTGCCCCTGGCAGGTCTGTGGTGCCCCTGGCAGGTCTGTGGCGCCCCTGGCAGACCTGTGTTGACTGGTGCCCCTGCTAGGTCGCTGGTGCTCCTCACAGACCTGTGGTGCCCCTGGGCCTTGACAAGCCTGAGATGCCTGGCTATGACAGGCTCGTGGTGTCCCTGATAGACCAGTGGTGCCCTTGCTAGGCCTGTAGTGCCCCTGGCAGGCCTCTGGTGCCCCTGCTACCCCTGCGCCCGGAGGGGACTATGGTGCCCCTGAAAAGCCTGAAGTGCCCCTCTCGACAGGCCCGTGGTGCCCCTGGGCTCTGACAGGCCCAAGTTACCCCTGCGAGGTCGGTGGTGCTCCTGGCAGGCCTCTGGTGCCCCTGGCAGGTCTGTGGTGCCCCTGGCAGGCCTGTGGTGTCCCTGGCAGGCCTGTGTTGACTGGTGCCCCTGCTAGGCCGCTGGTGCCCCTCACAGGCCTGCGGTGCCCCTGGAAGGACTGTGGTGCCCCTGCCCCTAGGGGTGCTCATGGGCCCAACAGGCCCGTTGTGCCCCTTCCTGTCGTGTATACTTGCTAGACCTGTGGTGCCCCTGCTTCCTGGCGGGCCTGTGGCGCCCCTACAAGGCCGTAGGTGCCCCTGACAGGTTTGTGGTGTCCCTGGAAGGACTTTGGTGCCCCTGACAAGCCTGAAGTGTCAGGACAGACCCTTTAGACGCCAGGGTCAAGTTCGTCGGACTGACAACGATTTGCTTACCTGATAACGTTCCCGGCAAGTACTCACTACTCAGCGTCCACAACATATATACCCGTAACATATACACATAGCACATTCATATATACTTGCTTACAATTGGTTTAATGTGGTTGTGGCTAAGAGTTAAGATACTGACTAAAAATAAAAAATAAAAATAAAAAAACTGAAAATGGGGGCACCACCAAAATGAAGTGGACGAAATCCGTTGAGTTTTTAATTTTGGGTATAGGTAGGGGCACCACTTCGATTCATGACCCTCCCCTTGGAGTTTTCCTGGATCCGCCCCTGACTAAAAGTTTCACTTTTCTTCTAAATTTAAAGACCGTAATACATATGCAGTGCGCCAGTTGAAAGACCGGGAATACCTGAACAGAATGCGCATTGCAAACGAACTACAAACGGCCAGCGAATAGGAAAACCTGTTCCTGATACGCATTCACTTGCTCATTTAACCCCGGAAACAGAAGCAGTAAACGTTGTTTCGTTGCATTTTCGGCTCACTGGTACGAACTGGGTGCATGTGAGGCTGCTGTAAACCTGCACAAATTTGCGGTCACTATTATGCAGAGACGGACGACCTTTTTTAGTGCGGGTAGTAAAATCTGCGAGAAACGGTGATGGATTGCCACTAAGCCGTGAGTTTCGAAAGTTAACATGCATTGTCATGTCATATATTACTGTACTCTTGAATACTACGCAAGGCAGTCAAAAGCGATCATTTCACACTTTTGCCGTTACCAGGCGGACGTCCGGTGGTTGCGGCCCGGAACCAGTCCGCAGTAATAGGTAGGTAGCCCGCCCGACCTGTCCTACGTTGCACAAGGCCGTGTTTCATCCACGCTCTCCGGCGCGGCGGTCCCAGATAATGCGGGCGGTCACACACGTACCGTGTTGGTTTCCGTCAGAAGGTGCACCAGGGGACGGATTCCCGAGGCGTTTTTGATGGCGGTGCGCGCCTCCTCCAGCTGGGCACAGGCGCCCAGACAGCCGGCCGTGTTGACCAGAATCTGACGGGGGACAAGCACACATTCCATCGTGCCGACAGACAAGCCATCAGTCCCAGCATTAGGAAATAACCCCCCCCCCCCACCACCACCATAACTGAGACCGACCGATCGACTTTAGCATCAAGGACACACCAATAGCCCCCCCAGACAGCCGGCAGCATTGACCAGAAGCTGTCGGGGAAATCCGCACACTCTCCGGGCTCGAACCATCAGTCGACAGTACACATCAGGGAAGTCCCAAAACCACACAAACAGCTGCATAAACAGAGACCCATAATACAACCCGCGGCGGTATTTTGTTGACCACAAGCTGGCGGGGACAGCCGCATATAGTCCCAGATTGACATATCAGTCGATCCCCGTGTCAAGGGGAGATACTCAAAACCTCCAGACCATCATGATAAAAACACTGTCATCCGCCACAGCTCAGGTTTCACCCACCATGCTCTCCAGTCTCCATACCACCTCATGACACTAACCTGTTCGTTTTCATTATTGAGCAGCGGCACGAGCATATCGACGATGCCGAGTCCGTTGAGCCGTTTGGTGTTGAGCGGGTCGACGGCGCACTTCCAGAGCGCTCCCGTGGCGGAGATGGTGATGGAGAGGTCCTGCTTGGCGGCCGGCAGCTGCAGCATCTGTGTCAGCCGCTCCAGGCCACCCAGCTCGCGCACCATGCGCCGCACGTCGCGGTCCTCGGCGCACTGCCGGCCGGCACACGGGGGGATGAGGGGAGTGGCAGCATGCGAGCAGAGCCAGTGGGGCTTTAGATCGCCGAGTTCAACGCAAAACATCTCGCGACAATCTTACACATCCGAGTTTGCGAAGATTGAATGACGATTTGAAAAATGGTGAGAATAGCGAAAAACAAAACGGAAAACGTCTTAGGCACGTCTTATATCGTCATATGTATTTCATCTTAATTGTTTGTTTCATATTTGGGCTTTAGGGAGCGCCGACTCAAGTCCCCGCTAGTCAGAAAACCTTCCGAGGCTAGGACTGACGTGCCTGGAATATGGCGTAGGCGCAGTGAATCTGCAGCTTGATGTTGTCCTTATGCAGGTGGTCCAGCAGGTTACGGGTCATGCCCTCCTCGCGGATGGCCAGCCGGTAACTCTCCTGTGGAAGCAATTAGGTACTGGTTATATTACAGAGCTCGGGATGGTCGGGTGAGGTGAACACAGCGGCCGGAAACTACGACTGATGGGGTTCATTACACAATACATCCCACACCACCTTCTGTCTACTACAACAATCCACATTCGATTCGACCGATAGAGGCAAACACGAAACTCCATCGTGTTACAAATTGTTGAACGAAAACTCATATTGTCGCACGGTTTTATTAAAAAAAAAAAAATCAGAAGCATTAAGAACTCAAAGAAGTCCTGGAGTTGCGTCCGACATTCCGAAACTCAGTTATCTCTAACTGACAACAGTATTGCCAGCTCCAGTCCCACGCCTCCCGAGACCCGGGGCCGGTCCTTGACTCACCTCAGACGCGCACATCTGGATGATGCCCATGACGGAGATAAGAAGCTCTGTGTGTACCGACTGCAGCAGTCGGGCCAGCAGGGTGATACCGCCCGCCTGGCGGATACACTCTTTCACCTGAAACATGCACCGGTCAGCAGAGATAGCGCCTGCCATACACCGGTCAGCAACGTTATAACGCCCGCCATACACCGGTCAGCAGCGTTATGCCGCCCGCCCGGCGAATACACTCATTCACCTCAAATAGAGGTAATCGTAAGGTAATCGTAGGGTCAGAGGTGATCGTAAGTGGGCAGTAATCGCCATGCCTTGTGTTAACCCTCGCCCGCACATGGGGGGGTGGTTGCCACCCCCCCCCCCAGGCAGTCTTTCTGCTCTGCACTCAACATTTTTAGAGCTAGAAGGCTGATTTTTCGTATAGCTGCTCGTCTATCCTTTCCTGATGTCCACTGAAAATTTCAAGTTTCTGTGACTTTTGGTTTCGGAGATATGACCTTGTTTTTCAGGTCATGTCATGACCCAAATGGCCAATTCTCAACATCTTGCGTTTGCCATGGGCCTTGTGAGCTTTTGACACTCTGATTTCGGCCTTTTTTGCCAGTCTTACCTCCCACCTATCATGGAACATGTTGTTCGACGATGTACAGGGGTCAAGGTCAGGGTCAAGGTCAACCTAGGTCATCTAAGATAATTGCGTTTTAGGCAAGCTGAATTTACTTTTTGTGAAGTTTTTTGACTGCATTTTTGGTAAAAGCTTCTCAGATCATGATTTCATGTGATATGGACCCAAAAACAATCGGTGCACACATCAGTATACACACAGACACACACAGACATACAAACACATATAATTGACCTTGACCTAACTTGACCTGAAATGACCTCAGCAGCAAAATTCTGGTCGGATAGTGTGACAAAGAGGTTCTAGCTGGCTTGGCACCAGAAAACAGCATCGTCATCGGTATTTGATAAGCAGCGCACTTGATATCCAACGGTGACCCAAAACAGCAACATTTTTTAGTTTGACCTGACCTGGAAGGTCAATGACTGACCTGAGAAGGTAAAACTGGGTATCATTGGATTCGTCTCTTCCCAAAAAATCTTTTTGGTCTTTACTGCTAAGCTCTATCTCCAACAGGAACGAAATGGCGCGGGGGGGGTGGCAACCACCCCCCCCCCCCCCATGTGCGTTCTAGGATGGGAAAATGGCATGTGCGGGCGAGGGTTAATCGCCCACGATCGTAAATACATATAAACATGCATACATACATACATACATACATACATACATACATACATACATACATACATACATGCATACATACATACATTCATACATGCAAGGTAATGTAAACATCCTTTCGAGCGGCAGTACTGTAAGCTGGACAGAAGGAGCGCCCTTGAGAATATCATGTGAACATATTTTTTTACGATTTTTTATGCACTGATGTCGTACCGACCTGTCCAATGCTTATCGCTGACTTACTTTTGTTTATTTTCAACTCTTCAAAGACCGGTTCAGTAGTATCCAAGCCACTGTTATGACGGGCCAAAATGAATGACCAACAGACAGCGCTGAGGCATACATACCTTGCGCGCCTTGGCCAGGGACCAGAGCGCCAGCGCGCCGCCCAGTGCCACCTCGAGCTTCTCGCGCTGCTTGGTGGTCAGCTTCTCCATGGGCTCCATCAGGATCGTCTTGTCCACGTCCAGCAGGTCCACCTGGACGGTGTCCAACGTCACACATCAGTTGAAAGGGGCAGACAAGAACAAATAATCGCCTCGAGCCTGTGAACATGGCTGAATTGTGACGCTACACCAGATCCCTTGTAAAGTCTGACATCACCACAGGTCCACCAAGCCAATAAGGCGACCAATAAGGCGTATCAGTATCAGTCACGCATAGCATACGGGCAAACGACGACTTATGTCCCTTGTATGACCATCCGAGAAAGATTCATTTAGACGATCGTGTATCTGTTACGGCCCGTATAAAAACTCGGTCCGTATTGATACTGCCCGGCCCGTATCAATACTGACCGGGTCATCGGAGGGCCGAGTTCTTAAACCGGCCGTAACATATCCACACAAAATATATCGTAGTTAGTACAATGAGATCCCCGATCTCAGGGCACCCCTCCGCAGCACCTACCAGTTTGGGCACCCCGCCGCTCTTGCGGACGATACGGCGCGCCCAGCGGAACTGGGCCACGTTGGCGATGGTCTCGGAAGCCAGCGCCTTCAGCTGGTTGGACGGACTGCTGAACAGCGTGACGAGAGTCTCGAGGCCGCCCAGACTGGCGATGGAGCGGCGCACCTCTGGGTGGCTGGAGATCACCTTCAGCACCTTCAGTGAGCCGATCTGCAGCGAAACAGACGGGGAATGATGATCCGATGATGATGATCAGAGAAAAGCTGATCTCATGATCAGGTGAAATGGGGGAGCACACTCGTTTTACTGTCATCCGTTAACAGCCATTATATCGAAACAGTCGGTTGCGATAGGATAGTCATTGGTATCAATGTGACACCATCGCTCCGCCTCCCCAGCTCATGAAATACGAGCGGCTCTCGCCACAGTGAAGATGCTGACCCGCAATACACACAAGTGCGGCGGGCCACAGCTAAATACGGCACTTGTAGTTCCCCACAGACCGGTCGGAGATATATGGTGGAATTGATGTCAATGACAGTGTACGGTGAATTCGAGTTAATTTCCATTAGATTAGACAGCGCCTAGCGAATGCTTTCACATTGAAGATACCACTAATTTGTGTACCTACTCACCTAAATTGCACGGGAATCAGCTTTGTATGTTTTTTGTTTTGTTTTGTTGGGTTAGGCCCTTTCGGTCCAATTAACCATTTCAGAGCCGAGAGGATGATAGGATATAGGGGGAGACATTGGTCTGGGCAGGCACCCTAGTGAGTCACCGGGGCTGAGCCCGTCCAGAGGACAGGCCACCCAGCCCCAAGATACTCACTGCACCCGGCTACGGGGTGCGCTCCCTCGGGAGCAGCGGTGCCGCTCCAAGGGAGCAGCGGCCGCAAGGGATAAATTTGCCTGTCCAGGCCGGAGGGGTTTGCGGCGTGGTGGAGAAGGATTTCTGTATCCTGAGGATAGAAGCACGGAACGGTGAGCTTTGTATGATTGTATCACACCGAGCATAACGCGTGAAAATCGACACCATGTGAAGAAGGCAGGCAGCTCTGCCGTAATTCCTAGCTCAGAAGGACGGCAAATCCCCGAGGGCGACCCCACTTCTCATCCCCAAACGTTACCTCACCTCTCTCCCACTCACCGCCCAGGCCATTTGCATTGCAGCATGACGTCAGCTGGATCAATAAAGAGACGTGATTTTCGTATGGAAGTTACGAAGACATGCGGCTTAATATTGTATAAGGGATAATAACGATGCGAATCTTTAATGGATCGATCAATACTGAAGCATAGGTCTTATAATAAGGACATGAAAATGTTACATAATGTTTGACAACGTTCTAACTACATAGGACCTTGAAATAACCTTGCATGACATAGGTACTTGGTTTGGTCGAACCTGGCTTTGAAGACCTTGCACATAGGTATAAACGTCCGATAGACGATAACTTTGTACGATAACGGCTTTCAACGAGCGCTACCAGAATCAGACAGTCATGTGTCGTATCTACGGCACTCTCGAACCTCAATATACCCTGCTAAGCTCCCGAAAAGCCGCTCAGAGTGCTCAATGTCGGACCTTACACCGGACGTCGTTGGTCTCGAGGATGTTGAGCAGCACCTCGAGGCCGCCGACGTCTCGCAGGGCCAGCTGGCACACCTCCTGGTCGATGGGGTGGTCCCGCAGTGCGCACAGTGCGATCACGGTGGCCGTCTGGTTGCCCGCCTGTCACCACACCAGCAGACAAAATCGGCGTCATACGCGACCGACGACCGTCAAACGACGCGGACCTTTCGACAGCGGGGACAAATACAAAATGCGCTGAATGTCACAATAAGTAGTGCATTAGAACGCGCGCAGAATAGGGATAGGTACGTGTGCTACTGCTTGCATGTTATAAAATAAGCGCAACATTACAGAAACACCTCCGCGCGAATATCATACCTTGAGGTATTTAACAAGCTTCTGAATTTGCCAGTAATCGGCCGGCAGGTCGGTGGCCGGGTCGTTGAAGCGGTCGTTGCTCTCCTCCTCCGAAGACGATTCTTCGCTCGACGAGGACACATTATCGGATGTTGTGACGGTTACCTTTTTGGTTGTTACTGTTTCCTTGTCTTTCCCGGTCATCGTTTTGAAATGCGATCGCTAAGCTGAAATGATATGTTGCACAGAACAAGGTAAATTACAAGAAACATTTAGGCTGGATGCACTGTGGCGTAGCATAAAACTGTCCTATGGAGCACATTGAAAAATAAGACCGCAAAGACTCCACGCTTACATCGTAGCTACCGCCACTGTAAATGACCGTCTTGTAAGCTGTAGCCGGCTATTTCAAGCTCAGGTTACGGTTTACCAAGTGTAGGTAATTCAGGTCCGTGTGATTCAGGGCTTGAGTGGCCAGGACTACATATAATAAACCGGTAAATCACATAGCACTTACTAAACCCTGAACCGCCGATTATTGACTGCTTGTAAAGCACTTATGATACGGCGGCTATCACGGGCCCGGACGGTCGGACCTTATTTAAAAGAGCCATTCAATCTCATGATCTCAATTTTCACTCTCAATCACAATCAGCTCTTGATGCTCTTGATCAGCTGTCAAGCAACTGCAACGCTCATCGGTTGCTATGGAGATGAACGCAAGGTAATATTTTTACGGACTGGGAAATCACAAGACCCTGATCCCAGTTTTAAATTTTTTTTTGACAAATATCTATTGTACAAAAAAAGTTCAGTAAGTGTAATAGGGTAACAAAATTGAAGGAAATTTCTTGTCAATCTGTCAGTTCAACAGTCACCTTTTCTACATTTTCCCAAATCCTTCAATAAAGCAAAACAAAGGATATGGAAGCTAAAGTTTGGAAGCATATGTGTCAGCTGTTGTAGACATTTACTGCTTCGCATTTGTCTACTATCGCAAAGTTATTTTTGCTGAAATAGGTCATTGGGTTAGTAGGAAAATCGCAATATTTAATTATTCGGACTGCGATTCTGAAGTCTTTTGATGCTCACACCTGAGCCATTCTGTTGCACTCTCGGTAATTCAAGTTCCTGCTTTGAACGGTGAGCTTGTTTTCTTCAGGGTTGGTATGAAAACAAAAGTGTAAATACCAAAAGCTCTAGCTCAACACAAGCAACCTGAATTGAATTGATCTGAAAATGACGAGCTGGGGCCTCATGTCTTGGTTTAGGCAAAAAAAATTATTTTTACTTATATTTGGTGTTGAGTTTCCATGTCAATGTAAAGTTAACGTGAAGAACAAATGTGGTCTTCCATTGGTAGTCGGTTAAGGCCAGTAAGTAGGTATTCTGTGCATGATCATGCCTTGTGCTAAAAAGTTGAAATATAGTCCCACTTGTGAGTTGAGTGTTTTTCAACCTCAAGCACTGGACATCTTCCAAATAATTGCTGGCAACTCTTGATTGCGGGCAGTCAGCAACCAACTTGCACACTACATACCATTATCAGTCGGGGAAACTATGGTAAAATCTGCTATTTTTAGCAGTCTGCTATTTTTAACAGAAATCTGCCAAAAATGGGTACGCATTTGACGTCATCGTACCCAAATATAGCAGATTTGGGTACGGCCCCATACAAAAGCAGATCTGCACCCTAATTGAAGCAAATGCGCATCAAATGGCTGGCAGATTCATGATGAGAATAGTGCTGAGAGTGATCTCTGCTATTTTTGTTCAGATCCGACTATTTTCAAATTCATTATTTGAAAATAGTCGGATCTGAATGAAAATATCAGAGGACATTCTCAGCACTATTCTAGTCATGAATCTGCCAGGCATTTGATGCGCATTTGCTTCAATTAGGGTGCAGATCTGCTTTTGTATGGGGCCGTTCCCAAATCTGCTATATTTGGGTACGATGACGTCGCATGCGTACCCATTTTTGGCAGATTTCTGTTAAAAATAGCAGACTGCTAAAAATAGTAGATTTTACAATAGTTTCCCCGACTGTTATGCTCCAAGTCCAGAGTGACATTCTGATTCACTGCGCAAATAGGCATGTTTGTTCACAAGGTGGTGACCTGAAAGCTTTCCATGAAAAATGCTACAATCACATGGGTGAAAATGATTTTCACCCACAGTGTGCATTTTTAACATATTTCTTGTAACATTTATGTTTGAATTTGTTGTGTCAGTAAATCACCATGGTATTGAATCACAGCACTGTTATTGAATTATAATGTAATAAAGCCTTTACTGTAGGTACTTAATATCTATGTTTTCTCCTTTGAAATATGGAAGTTTGTGTAATAGCTCCTTACTGATATCAATTTCTAGAGTTAATTTAATTATGAGTTCATTGTTTTTATGCTTACTTGCTGATAACTAGTTGTGCTCCTTAAAATTAAACTTTGTCAACCATAAGCATTTTGACATTTTAAAAATCAATTGAAATGTTGTTTATATTTGTCACTTTCACCTTTTCAGCTATCTTTGCCTGCCTCATAGCTTGGATGGTTGGGCAAAAAATATTTGACTTTCTGTGGTGAAAGCCTCATGGGCCATTGGCTTTCGGCACCATTCTCTATATTAGACCACTGACAGAAGTTTATAGGAGCATGAGTTAGTTGAAGTGAGTTGAGTGGAATGGACTGTATCCAGTTTTGCTCAGCAAGCTGAATTCTGGCATCCAAATTCTTCTGATAACTCAGAACTATCTGATTATATCGTAGAGGTCAGGTCAGTCAGGGCCTGTGCAATAACTTCTGCTTAGCATGCAGTCTGGCCATTCAAACATAAGAGCTAAGTTTACAGAAATGGCAGCTGTTTTACAATTTTTTTTTGCATAAATAGGCAAATGCCATGGAAATTGGAGAAAGCATAATATACCAATGCAATAGGTACATGAAAGTCATTTCTTTATTTATCTTGAAGGAAGTCACACAAAATAAGCTAGTTGTAGCGGCGCCGAGGCGCCGAAGATGCGCACGACTCCGGGGTGCAAGCGCCGTCGGTGTCACAATCATGTGCATTTTGCGTTTATTGTGCCATTTAACAGAAAGTTGTTTTTGTTGTTCAGCTAAAATGTGCCAAAAGCTGTTTTTCATCAAGTTTGCATTGTCAATTGTAATTTTAGCTTTATTTCGCTAAAAAGGTTGTCTAAACGATTAACGTAAATATGTCCGTTTTTGGCCGCTACATTGTTAAGCGGTATCTCCACGTCCTGTCTGCGCTGTGATTTGCGATACAGTCGGTAAGGACTTGTTTTTATTTACTAAAATCTTCATGCTGTATCATTGCGTTGACTTGCTCTTGTTTTGTTTCCTCTCGGTTTGTTTTATTTATCTCGGAGTTCATTTGTATCTTGTAACGATTGTCTGGTCTTTTCCAGAAACCATTGCATTGCATTGCATTGCCTGACATCGCATTAGAAGAGAATATAAATTGGTATCACGAACAGGCAGCGATGCGTTTAAGACGACGCGAGGAGCGCAGGCGGGAACAGTTTCGACTGTATCACACTGTATCGACAGTGTGACAAGTCGTATGTCGAAAACTACATACAGTTTCGACTGTAGCGACAGTTTCGACTGTGTCGACAGTTTGGACTGTCGTGCACTGCATCGACAGTTTCGACTGTCGCGCACTGAAGTAACTGTCATCTGAAGTGACAGTGTCGATGATCGTACGTCGAAAACAGTTTCGACTGCATGTCTCGTTGAATGTTGAAGAGCAGGTTGAAGTGACTGTCAGCTGAAGCGACAGTTTCGACTGTGTCGACAGTTTTGACTGTCGCACACTGAAGTGACAGTTTCGACTGGGTCGACACTGTCGACTCATTGATGCGCCATTTTCGACTATTCGAAAGAAGTTGAAATGACAGTTTCGTCTACGTTGAAATGACTGTCGTTTGTACAGCGCCCGAGACCCGTTCGACTTCATTCGTCTCGGCGCTAGTGGATCGTCGTACCGGCGGCTGTCTGATGTCGGCCTGGAATCGCCGCCGCTGCAGCGTCAAGTCAGGGATTGAAAAACGCTAGTCTCGGCTTGCCGGTACGTTGGCTCTCGTGCAAAAGGCTGAGTGGGGTCAGTGACCCTGTTGAGCTCGATAGGCTTGTGTCTTGTCATGTAATGCGGCTTGTATTGCCGATCGCATTGGTGTTTGAAAGGTACGTTTCGCTTGTATCATACGTACCGTTTGAATCATGAATTTGTCGCGGCTGACAGTGCAATTGTTAAGGGCACAGCTTTTGGCTAGAAATCGTAATGCCAAAGGCACTAAGGCTGTACTTGTAAAAAGGTTAGGGGAAGCTCTTCAAGAGGAAGGCATTGATGTTACCCTATTTGTTGCTCGCCTAATCGGTAACTCTGTGACCGGGGAGGGTCAGAATGATGAACGTCAGGTAGGTCAGTCAGCTGCTTCGGCAACCAGTCCTGTCGTGACCAGTCTCGTCGACGGAGGCTCGAGGCCCAGCCAATCAGATATTGCTATTGACGCTGTAGATCCCGAGGATTGCTGCATTGAGATTTCTGGTGCTGGTGCTCGTTTGCGGGCCTCCGCTGCTGGTCAGGACGTTGTTCGGGACCCGGTAAACCAGCCGGCTGTCTGTCCTGATGAAGATGTGCGGCCAGCTGACAGTGCTGCCCATGATGGTGGGTCCGTCTTGTCTCGGGGAAGTGCAAGATCATCACTGGCTTCGACGAAGGCCCAGGAGTCAGCTAGACGAGCTGCTCTGAAAGTGAAGATGAAGTTCCTAAAAGAAAGGCAGATGCTGGAGCTTCGTGAGCAGGAACTGAAGATGAAGAAGGAGGAATTGAAGCTGCGTGAAGCCCTTGAAGAATCTGAAGCCTTTGAAGCCGCGCTTTCAGAAAGCGGGCCTAACTCGACTGTTTCAACGGCTGTTGGAGGAACCGGTAACAGCACCCAGGAAAGGATTTCGCCCATTTCGAGACCGGCCACTCCCCCTCCGGCACCAGAAGCTAGACGTACCGAGAACGAGGATCATCAGGCGAGCTTGATGAAGAAGTTGCTCACCTCGTGTGTTCTCCCAAAGCCAGACATTCCCGTGTTCTCAGGCGATTTTGCCAGATTCCACCAGTTTTTGAGAGCGTTTGATGGACGAGTCGCTAGCGTGGTCGTCGATGAGGAAGAGAAGCTTCGCTATTTGGAGCAGTTTACGTCTGGTACACCAAGAGACATCGTACGGGGATGCATGTTCATGAAGACCGGTGGCTATGAGGAAGCGAAGAGGCTATTGATGAAGAGGTATGGCAACCCTGACCGGATGGCTGAGTCATTCATCGACCGTCTGGTGCACTGGCCACTTGTGAAGGGTGATGATGTCGCTGGACTCGACAAGCTCGCGGTGGAGATGAGAGCCTGTCACAACGCAGTGGACAGTCTGATGGGAGCCAGCCATGAGCTGAACCATCCAAAGACAATGAAGAAGATTTTGGAGAAGCTGCCCTTCGCAATTCAAGAAAAATGGCGGAGAGAAGTGGACCGTCTGGCAGAAGGAGAGGGAAGGTCTGCACTGTTCTCTGATCTGGTCAGCTTGATGGAAGTAGAAGCCAGAATCGCTTCAAACGCTGCCTTCGGCCGTCAAGTCTTTCTCAAAAAAGACCTATCAAGAGCCGACAAGTCTCAGGAGACCAAAGTCAAGTGTAATTACGTCAAAACCAAAGACGCTGAAACCGAAAAGAAGATATGTGTATTGTGCAAGCACGAGCACGACTTGTCTGCGTGCCCAGTTTTTGCAGAGAAAACATTGGTGGAAAGAGAGAAGCTTGTTCGTCAGCACGCGCTCTGCTTCGGATGTCTGGAGGCGGGTCACAGGTCCAGATGGTGTAAGTCCCGTCTGACATGCATGGTGTGCGGGAAGGGCCACCCCTCTGTGCTCCATAGATACCAGACGGCGACGGTCAGCCACGATAGCCCGCCGATGACTCTATTAAGTGACCAGCGGGCTTCGCAGGCAGCAGTAAACGTCCTCTCTTCTAGAAGAGCAGGACATTCGGGTGTAAAGATGCCAATTGTTCCGGTGAAAGTGAAGTACCAAGGTGGGACTACTGTACAGACTTACGCCCTTCTCGACAGCGGTAGCTCATCAACCTTCTGCAGTCAGTTGTTGTTGGACAAGCTGGGGGTGCCCACCTCGGCGAAGACCAAACTCTCCGTCATCACCATGGCCAGGGACCCGCTCAAAGTCTGGACGGCTCCCGTTGAGGGCTTATCGATATGTGGCATCGACGAAAGTGACCCCGTTGACTTACCTGAAGTGTTCTCGTTGGGAAGCATCCCAGCCAGCCGGGAGGAGGTCTGTAGAGTTGACGATCTCTCTGACTGGCCACGCCTGCAGGAAGTCGTCCCGCCTGACATAGACGCTGACGTAGGACTCTTGATTGGCGTAAACGTCCCCGCTGCTCTGGAGCCTGTCGACTTCATCAAGAGTCGTGACGGCGGCCCTTTCGCGGTAAAAACCAGGCTTGGATGGATGGTCCAAGGCCGAGTTCGATACTTGAAACCGACGCAGCCGAAGAGCACCACGAATCGCATCAAAGTGGAGCCCCAGCAGCTTCATCTGGACGGGAGCCTGGCTACTGGAGAACGACACTTGTCTGTTGAAGATCCTCGATGGCGGAGCGGTGACACAGTTCAGCCGCCAGAGGTACGCCTGAGGAACGTTCTCCCCTTCGGCGCCAGGTCCTCACCCGGAGTAGCTGACTGTGCTCTGCGGCAGGCTGCGGAAGCCAGTGGTGAAAGAAGTTCGTGGTTGAAGCCAGATAAAACATTGGAGACTGAAGATGCTGTTGTGATCGCTGACAGTGGCCTTCAAAGGATCCAGCGACCACTGGGTCGCGTGATAGAAAGGCGTGCTAGCCAGGACGGACTGGTGAGAAGTGTTAAGGTGAAAACGAAAGGAAGGGAGATGTGGCGCCCAGTCACGAAGCTGGTGTCATTGTGCTAGGCGCCAGCTGAGCGAGGACGCTGTGCCAGATGGTCTCTGTGCCAGTTCGATTGAGGCAATCTGCGTTGCGCAAGGTACTTGTTGATTTGGGGAAATGCAAACGTGCGCACTGCCTCTTCATGTTCCCCTTGTGTTCTCGTTTTGTATGTTCGGCCTTGAAGACCGAACGGGGAGGGTGTAGCGGCGCCGAGGCGCCGAAGATGCGCACGACTCCGGGGTGCAAGCGCCGTCGGTGTCACAATCATGTGCATTTTGCGTTTATTGTGCCATTTAACAGAAAGTTGTTTTTGTTGTTCAGCTAAAATGTGCCAAAAGCTGTTTTTCATCAAGTTTGATTGTCAATTGTAATTTTAGCTTTATTTCGCTAAAAAGGTTGTCTAAACGATTAACGTAAATATGTCCGTTTTTGGCCGCTACATTGTTAAGCGGTATCTCCACGTCCTGTCTGCGCTGTGATTTGCGATACAGTCGGTAAGGACTTGTTTTTATTTACTAAAATCTTCATGCTGTATCATTGCGTTGACTTGCTCTTGTTTTGTTTCCTCTCGGTTTGTTTTATTTATCTCGGAGTTCATTTGTATCTTGTAACGATTGTCTGGTCTTTTCCAGAAACCATTGCATTGCATTGCATTGCATTGCCTGACATCGCATTAGAAGAGAATATAAATTGGTATCACGAACAGGCAGCGATGCGTTTAAGACGACGCGAGGAGCGCAGGCGGGAACACTAGTCATTCCACATTTCTGTGCACATATGACAATTTAACCTGCCAGACCTTCTATTCCTAGCCCCTACTGTCCCTAGTCACCCTCTAGTATCATGTGACCACACTCCACGCCTCCGTGAGCCATTCTATTCAGTGACCACCGCCGTGCTGTACCGCCCAGCGCGACCTCTGTGGAGTGCTGAGCTCAGCAGAGACACTGGCGCCGTGCTGGGGCGGAGCGTGTCGCCCGGCTGCAGTGGCGCCGCTGACACCGTGAGCAGGGCACGCTGCCGAGTGCTGAGTGCCAGGCGCAGTGAAGAAGGGTCATGAGAGGCATGGAGAGGAGTGAATTGGAAGGCAATGTTTTTCGGACAATGTGTGGCCTAGGGATCAGGTTTCTGGCGGTAAAAGTGCTGATGTGAATTTTAAGGCCTCACGTCGGTGTGCATCGCGCGACGGGTTTTATCGCAGATGATGATAATTGTGCTTTGCGTGCTAATTTGTTCACTCTGATCTCTATTTTATCAACGCAAGTATCACCTGACCATTTTTCGTTCTTGGTTTCAGTGCGACTGGTGGCAACGCCTTTTTGCTCCTTCAACAAGTCCACCAATCCCTCGTCTAGCATCAGTCGTATTTCGGAGATCAGTCTGAACTACCAGACCCCGCACAGTCCGGTAGCCGACTGTCTTCCTCTCGTGGTTCCCTGAGAGCGCCGCCGGCCGGCTGCTGCGTCTCCCAGACCCGGCGCCATGGGCTCCCCGGCCACCTCGCTGCCCGACTCGCCACCGACCTCGTTCATGTCCGAGGATGGCGACAACAGCGACAGGAACGAGAGTGAGTCGGGGATGGGGTGGATAGGCTGAGGGGAGGCGCAGGGCAGCGGGTGGGTGGCATAGAGCAATCTGCCGCCGTTTACTGAATGCTTTTGTGCCTATATAAGCTCCATTGTTAGAATAAAGATATATCTTTAGGCAATTATTTTATATGGGAGTTAACGTTTATTCTTTTGATTTGTATTAAAAGTACTCACAACTCACAAGTGTGAGCTAAACCCTTGTATAAACCGTCTGTCTTTGTCGCCATGACTGCTGAGCTTGGTGCCTCCATGTGGTCACCTTCTAACCCCTACGTCCCTCAGGTAGCCGAGACGTCAGCTATTCACTTGACCTGTGCTCCCGCCCGCCCGTCTGCTCTCACGTGGGCGCCTGACCTCTAACCTTCCCCTGGTAATCAACCGGGGTCACATTCTGATCTCTGTCCTGAGGCGACTGATAACTTCCTTTGGCCACCTTGTCCCATATCCTCTCCGTGCAGCTGACACCCGGTTGTCACTCCTGACCGCTGCTCCCTGTCGCCGCGGCTCACCCTCCTCCCATCCCCCCAGGCAGTTTGCGCCGTCGCGTGCTGCCGCTCACCCTCTGACCCCCCCCCCCCCCCCCGGCAGGCGGTCTGTCTCCGTCCCCGGCCGCCTCTCACCCTCTGCCCCCCTCCCCCCGCAGCCAGTTTGTCTCCGTCCCCGGCCGCCGCTCACCCTCTGACCTCCCCTCCCCCTGCAGGCGGTCTCCCTCCTTCGCCGGCGGCCGCAGTGGTCACCATGGACGCCCAGCCGGTCACCTACTGCGAGCCCACCTTCTGGTGTTCGGTCAGCTACTACGAGCTGTCGAGCCGCGTCGGCGAGACGTTCCACGCGTCCCAGCCGAGCCTGACCGTGGACGGCTTCACGGACCCGAGCAGCTCGGACCGCTTCTGCCTGGGCCTGCTGAGCAACATCAACCGCAACCCGGTGGTGGAGCAGACGCGGCGCAACATCGGGCACGGCGTCCGGTTCTACTACATCGGTGAGCGGGGTGGGTCGGGGGTCAGTGTGTACTACATTGGTGAGCGGGGTGGGTCAGGGCGTCCGGTTCTAGTACGCGGCGTCCAGTTCTACGATATCGGTGAGCGGAGTGGGTCGGCAGTCAGGTTGTACTACATTGGTTCTACTACGTATGTGAGCGAGGTGGGTGGCGACACGGCGTCTGGTTCTATTACATTGGTGAGTGGGGTGGGACGATGAAGGCGTCCGATTCTACCACATTGGTAAGACGGCGTCCGGTTCTACTACATTCAGTTCTACTACATTAGTGAGCAGAGTGGGTCGGGTCAGGGCGTCCGGTTCTACTACACTGCGTCTGGTTCTACTACGTTAGTGAGCGGGGTGGGACGGCGGCTGGAGGTTGGCTGGAGTTGGTGTAGTAGGAAGGACGGTGGAAGGCCAATGGCGATCGACAAAGTTGTAAACTGAATAAGGAAGTGAAGTAATCGCATTTTCGCTGTTTGTTCTGATGCTTGTCGGATGTAAGTGTCACTACATGACGTCTGCTCTGCTTGTGTCGTGGCGAAACATTTGACTCGTGCTACTCCACCTCCGTCTGACCCCACTAACCCATCTGCCGCAGGTGGTGAGGTGTTTGCCGAGTGTCTGAGCGAGTCAGCCATCTTTGTACAGTCACCCAACTGCAATCACCGGTTTGGCTGGCACCCGGCCACCGTCTGTAAAATACCATCCAGTAAGTGAAGTTTGTTGGGGTCAGTAAATGGGCCTTACTGTCCAAAATTACTTAACTGATGTCAGCCTTCGTGCTGTAGGAAAGGAGGGGCTATGAAGTGTTCTTTTATCTTTCGTCTTTTATTTCTTTCGTTTTTCATCAAGTAGCTGTATTTTTCTATTCTGCTGTAATGTTGAGCATTTACTTAACAAAAGCACATTGACTCCCACGCCTACCCACATGTTCTAAAACATCGTTCTTTCCTCTCCCTGCAGAATGCAACCTGAAGATCTTCAACAACCTCGAGTTCGCGGCGATGCTGGCCCAGTCGGTGAACCAGGGCTTCGAGGCCGTCTACAGCCTGACGCGCATGTGCACCATTCGAATCAGCTTCGTGAAGGGCTGGGGCGCCGAGTACCGGCGGCAGATCGTCACCTCGACGCCCTGCTGGATCGAACTGCACCTGAACGGACCGCTCCAGTGGCTGGACCGGGTCCTGACGCAGATGGGCTCGCCACACATGCCCTGCTCGTCCATGTCGTAGGTGCGCGGTGGACCCTCAGAGAGACAGCGCGCCGAACGGTGTGAGACTGCGTGAGAAGTTTTATAGCTGTGTGAATGGTTAATGTGCGCCGCCGTGGCGTGCGGTGGACGTTTGTGGCGCGCGGAGGACCATCTTGGTGCGCTGACGGAGGTGGCACCGTGGCACGTATATACATGACGCTTCATCGAAGTTTGAACTATCCGTGGCGGCAGAGGTGGGCTATACATGAAGAGCATACATGAAGACATCGCCCGCCTGGTGTCCTCTGCTTGCCGCTGACATCCGAGATACTGTGACGTCACACCAGTCAGTGGCGTCACTAAGCGCTGCGCTGCCGTGAAGGTACGAACTACCGGGCGTGGAGGCCTCCCCTGACGCCGGCAGGCCCCTGAGTCAAGTCAAAAGGGTGAAACGGGACGCTAACACACGGGACAGGCGGTGACGCTTTACGCTTTGTGAGGGTCGAGCGGGGCTGCAAGGGCGCGGCCCTCGCTGAATGAGTCTCAGAAGACGGCGGTTTGAGGGGGGGGGGGGGAAAGGGGGAGGAAAGGAGTGTGACACGGTCAAGTGTTCCTTCATCGTCCGGACCGGGCCCGCTTTATCGAAATGCGCGTCTATTCGCTGCTTCCTCAGCGGCAGTCAAGTCTTCTCAAAGTCCCGGACCGCTGAACGTATCGGGAAGGTGCGCCGTTCAGTCCTATCTCCTGCCCCGCATTGCGTTGGCGTATTCTCGGACCAGCTCAGGAGAAAGCTGTGGTGACAAGGGCTCCGTAGGTGCCACCGCCGGGCGTGGCCGTTTGCTGAATAGGGTCAACGCTAACCCGCAGGTGCTAGTGTAATGAATATCCGCGAATATTGACGGGCGGACCCGTCACCATTTGACTGTATATTTTGTAAGGTGACCCTCCTAATAGTCCCTTTTATGCCCAGGTCGGGACTAGCCGAACATGTCGTGAGTTTCAGTAAACTGTGAACTAAGGCGATCTGACCCTCTTCCTCCCTCTGATGCTCGCTGCTTTAACAGCGTTGACAAGTGAGTCAAAATGGGTTTTGGCTTCAGAGCTGCGCTGATGCAGCCGGTACCTAGCTCTCGTTTAGGACACGGCGTGCGCAGTCAGTTGGCCATCATGTTCTGAGTGTGATGTTGACGATGCTTTGACTGATAGCGGGACGCCGAAAGCATGCTTTACCCGCTGCGTCAGGCTGGCGGAACCTTACGATACGTACTGTGTTCGACGCGAGTCTGACTGTCAAACAATTTACTGGAACGAAGAGTCTGCTTTCTGTGAGGATTTTAAACAACATCTGTGTACCTGAGAAATTTATTAGAAGTCCCGTCGCGAGCGTACTATAGTGGCGATACGCTACTGCGAATAAACTATTTGTATATGGTGCTTGTGTGTCGTTGCGAATGGGAGGGGCTGAACTCACGTAAGGGTAGAGGAGGCCCTCGAGGAGGCCAAGTAGGGAGGGCCGACTGCAGGCCTGTAGGAGACATCTCGTGAAGAAGGAATGGGTCGTGGTGTGTTGCAAGCATATGGCTGACGAGATTGGAAGTGATTGGCGACCATTCAGTTTGTTTACCACAGTCGATTGACAATTGCGATTTGGTATTGCCAGAAGACCAGCCAGCAAACAATTTCGGAAACGCATCCAGTGGAATTTGTTGTATGTCTACCTAGCGGTTAAAAGGTGAAACAATCAGTTGCCACCTACGTCGATAGGTGGCACCACAAGGCAGTTCATGACCCAACTTCAAGGCCATGTGCCTTATCTGGCGCTCGCCGGCCGGCGTCTCTCGATCAGCCGCGTCCTCCGGAACAGGTGGCTGCGGAAATTACTTTCTAAATTCCTAGTCCTTTTAGTAATTGTTAAGTTCTGCGTGGTTATTTTTACACTTCGATACAAATAGCTTTTGAATTACCAACTGCAATAATGACAGAATATCACAAGCCTGAACTGAAGGTCCTTCAGGAGCTGAAGGATATCGCCCACAAGCTGAGGATCCACAGCATTGAGTCGACATCTGCGAGCAACTCAGGGTATGTAAATGGATGTCCTCTATGTTTTAGTTGCATTGAGTAATGTTGTTGCATGCTTGTCACATTGCAAGCATCACAACACATGAATCTCAATCTATTGCTTGTATCAGTATCATTAGTTGTGCATGCATCAGGATAGTGCGTGCCCACTGGTGCTACTTTGAGTTCATCTTTTGATTTCAATATTGATTTGGACTGTGAAATTGAGAGCCTGTGAGACCAAACTATTCTATTTTTTAAGTGACTTTAGCATCCTTTTTTCCAGATTGGATCCTGACCAACACATGTGAGTCCTTTTCCTCTTCCTCTCCTCACCTCATCCATGGTAAGTTGAAACATTTGTTATCCAATGTGCATGTGTCAAAGTACCTGAAACATTCTCACCTTTTTCTATGCTATATAATGTCATAGTGACATGCCAGCAATATAGTGACATGAGTGCCTGAAATAATGATGCTACATGTCGTTGGCTATGATAACCAGAAAAGTCTGGACACCCATGATCCATGTGACTGAAATTTCCTGTGTCCATGTATGCATCATGCTTCTTTGCTTTTTATGCATGAAATTCAGTGCTGTGTGGCATGTGCTATCATCAATGCTGTTTCATCTGAGAAGATAAGTAGGGCCAAGCTGTGATAAGTAGGGCCAAGCTCGATGGTCAATTCATATGTCGCCACCAGCGATATGTCTCAGGCTGGGCATTATCTCGGTATGTCTCGGCATTATCTCCACGTTTGCTAATCTCGGAAGTTTCGGCGTTCTGTGATATTCAGCGGGTTGCCGCGCGGTTGCGATCTCTCTTCAGGCGAACGCTCGTTACTCATGATCCACCCTGCAACAAAAGTTTCGATCGAGTGCGGGCCATTATTCGGCAATTTGACCTGACGCCCATGTGGAGCGTCAGACTCTAATTCGCCTACTTTCTCCGTGCGGGAGGGACGGACGGCGATTCGTGAGCCTGCCTGACCCGCCTGACCCAGAGCGGGAGCACGATCGTGCGCGGGGGGCAGGTCGCCGTCCGTTGAACGGCTTGCCTCTAAAATGTGAGCCATTTCATTGCAGCGTAGGAATAATATTAGCCGTAAGCCTAGATCAAAAGCAGCTTGTTCGATGACAGTACTATCGCAGATATTTTGCTCTTGTAACTGACCTGTTGGGGGATCGGTGACCATATGCTTGTGATGATCTCAGAGGAGAGTGAGATTCGGCTGTTGCAAAATAGGAAAAAGTCCGGTAGCACTCTATCTCCCCTTGATCTTGCCGTGCGTTTTATGTAATGACCAGCGAAATTCTTCGGAGCTTGAGGCGACGGGAAACCAACCCTTCAGCATTCAGGTCATGTGTTTGAGAAGGAATGTACCATTTGCTTATCTATTGCATTTTAATGCTGCTAAAAAGGCTAAAAAAATGAGAGGAAGCGTTATCGCGCCCCTCCCTCACCCCTCCCCAAGAGCGTAATTGTGTGCTCCGTACTTAAATCGGACTCAATGGAGCACAATGGTTGTCAATCCCAGGGCTTTGCATGCATCTTCAAGACAAGTTATGCATCTGGGCTTTTGGCATATGGTTTGTTTCCTGCAAAATTATTTTTGTATTTTTTTCCTTTAGGCTGCTCAAATTTGATGCTTTTTGAGAAGGAACCGAAATGTGACTTTGTTGTCTTCTGATGCGTTCATCGTTAGCTTGTGTTCTTCTAGCTGGTCGTGACGAATACTGTCGATCAGAAATAACCGCGAACTACCCAAATTTGGAGATAAAAGTGTAAACGTTATCACTGAGCTGAAATCAGTGAAAATTATTGAATGCAATATTTCCTAGTATCCTATCCTGCACGGCTGCTATACCGTTTCGTTACGCGGCCCGGGGGTCGAGCCGCCGGGGACAGTAGCCGTAAAAAAGCTTCCCTTCTTCACTTCATGTTTGGCACGGATTACTGACACGATCTCAATAATGCACATTGAAACAGTTGATGTGTGCTATAAATCTCGTTCCATGGTAATTGGTCATCGGCAGTGGTTTGAAAAATGGCTTCCGCCGTTCTCGGCATACTCTTACCTGCGCGCTTTCCTTCAGCGATATAAATAAAGATTTGCTTCAGTGCATGATTTTGTAGGCACGCAAGCCTTTGAAATCATGAAGATATGGAGCACAATTTGTCAATCTGCTGTCTGAAGCCAGCTGCGACTTGCTGACAGATAGATACGTTGCCGTGTTATGTCGGTATTTTCAGCTTTATGTCTTGCTGTTCCATTAACCCTTTTTTTCGAGTGTTAAAGGGACCCTCCCACCTTAACATTAGATTTGAGTTGAGATAGCCAAAATGGGGTCCCTGGCTCACAATTACCGGTTTCGGCACTCACAACATCGAGAAATGCCTTAAATCGGAAATATTGAATTTCAAAATTGCAGCATTTTGATTCAGAGGGGCTAATGCATAGGAATACCCCTCTGAATGTGTGACGTCAGCGCAGATATCTAACGATTTTTTAATGTTTGACTAAAACGTTTTGAAGCACGCGGTGGTATATGCTGCTTTGCGCGCAACAAATGCCGCACTTTCAAATAAAGTCGCTAGGAACAGCGGAGATCCCAAAAAGTAAACAAAAGTAAAAGTCTAATATCTTGAAAACCGGTGAATATTTTTCGATGAAATTTGGTAGATATTCGTTTTTGCTCTTTCTGAACCGAGCGACATCACTTTCATGCCAATTCATTAACCTTTTTGAAGGTGGGAGGGTCCCTTTAAATAAGGTTTCCCTCATTGAACTTGAAGTGTGTGAAGGTAAATATCGTTTCAACTTGCCCGATGTAACAAATTTCAATAACCCGGTTTACATAGCATATTTGACGAGGCTCTAGCTCGTTAATTTGGCGATAATTTCGATGCAGTGGTCTACAAATATTTAGAGGGGATCATTTTGTAAATTGTTAAGCACCATTGGCATCTTTTGCAACATCACGGACGGAGATATAAGCTTGCAACAAACCCTATGTAAACCGGGTTAATGTCATGGGAGTCGAATTGCAACATCATTCCTGTACTTTGTAAGTTTCTATGTCTAACGTATAAAGTCTAACTTATTGTACAATTACATTATACATATAAAGTGTAATTTAGGTACTATAAGACGTAGGCCGCTTTGGCGTTAAGCTTATTCGGCTAGTGCTATATGGAGGTTTTAGCCTGTGAGAATTACACCAAAGGAACAATTGTCAATGCTTCATGTATATTTTTTATCTAAAGTTAATCCCCCGTTAGATACCCTTGATCTTTCTGATATATTTGAATATTTTGTATATAACACCTTTCACTCCCAATAATAACTAAGGCAACGTCTCGCTATTTGGCCTGATTGGCTCGGTCCCTTTCACTCGTCAATTTCCCTCACAGTCATGAAGCATATACCACACATACGGTCTATGCGCCGTGCATTTCAACATTCAACGAGCACGTCCGGCCGACCGGCGCGCGCCCGTCTACGGTGACCGTGGTCTGACCTCTACGGCGCCCGAGGCCCCGCCCCCGGCGCTGCTCCCTCATACTAGACCGGCGCGAGCCCCCTGCCGCCTCCAGTCGTCCGCCGTCCGCGCAGCCGTGAGGGTTCGGGGTGTCCGGGGGTTGAAGATCGGGGGGGGGGGGGTACCTTTTGGGGGACCGGTGAGCGGAGACCAGTGCCCGGTGACCAGGTTTGTTCTCGACTAGTCCTCCTCCAGAACCGGCAAGTATTTCCGCCGTTATCGTGTTTAATATCGTTGTTAGTTCGGCTCTCGTTCGATTCTCCATTCGTTCATTTCTGCCTCTGCTAATCTCGGTGAAGCTATCGCTGTGGTGAGCTAATCGCTATGTCCACTGGTCTCAATGGCCAGCCAGCGGCGGTGTGTATCGCTCCCGCTGCCGACGCTTGACCTTCGCCCGCCGGCGGCTGGTAATTGATCGAAGTCTGTCTCACATTCGGTGGTGTTTGGTTTCTCTCCACTGCCAACAAGGAACCACTTTGGAACGATGCTCTTCCCTGGTTCTAGTCCGAGGCGTAGTTGTGGTATTTGTCCTGAGGTCCGGCTGAACTGGACAGTATCGATTTGTCCGAGCGCTGGGTCACCCAGCTGAGTGGAGGGGGCGGAGCGGTCGATATGGGACGCCGCTCTGTCTGACCTGCCGAGAGGAGAGCTTGGAGCGGCAACGCGGTCTGCAAGGGGTCTGCGATCATTGGGAATGAGATCAGACAGCATGCCCCGATCGATTTTAAAGTGTTCGGCTTTACATGCATGCCAATGAACTCGAGCATCTCTTTGCTCTCAAACGGCTTATTTCACTGCAATTCGAAACTGAAACCTCCAGGCGCTGACAGCTTCGTTCTTGGATTGAACAATAGCTGCATGATTTTGCATGGCTATTGCTTTTTATTTCCAAGACCTTACCGTATATTCCAGCTGCCATTTAGCCGTTGAGGTATTGCCGGGTAATTTCCCTGACGTTAAGCTACTCACCGGGCTTTGTTTGTGCCTCGCCGCGGTATTGAGACGGTCATGCCCGGTAGTTTCTCTCGCGCCTGGAAGTTCTCTGGAACGGGCCTGTCACGGCCTGTCACGTGTGTCGGTCACGGGCCGTGCCAGTCATTGGACCTGTCACCGTGTCTCGGCTTCTGGCTCAGACTGACAATACTTCGTGCCAGGGAAGCTGTATCAGGATCAGGGCTGAGCTAAGATGGTTTTGACTTGACATGGAAGGGGTTTTGTCAGAATATGTACTGTGATTACAGTGACCTCGAAAGGTCAAAAGTTGACCTTAGATCACGTGACCTAAGGTCAACTTTTGACCTTTCGACCTTTCGAGGTCAACATACATATGTTTCGATGCGGATCGACGAGGGGATCACGATGGTGCTATTAGTTGGTTCCTAGCTGGGATACCTTGAAAGTTATTCGAGAAAAACTTCATATATATGTATAGTGCCGCTATTTTGACTTCCTTTTAGCTCCTGTGACGTCATCTTTCACCTGACCTGAAAATGACCTCAGTAAAAATTATAGACCTTATCCGTGTGTACCCTTTACCGCTTACCGCTTGTCGCTATCTTTCTTTATTCTCGAGATCTCGCTGTCGCTCCCGCTCGTAATAATGGACAGGTCATAAAAATGACCTGACCTGAGGTCAACGCAGGGCGATAACCACTTTTTTTTATTATCGCATATGAATGACGATTGATAAGGCTTTAATCGTCATCAGACAAAATTGCAACTTTTAGTGGGGAAAATATCAAGGTCACTCTTCGAAAAATAGGA